TTATTAAAACACTGAGTCACCTTTAATACGTATTGTATAAGGTCTTAATTAAAATGCATGCGTCAAAGAGTTATGACAGTTGGAAATGCAATTTCGTAAAGTTTTACGACTTGTTGCTATATGCGGAAAAATTTAGACCTTTTTCGTTTGACTCTACGCGCAATTCTGAATGTACTGTTAGCAATAGCAGAGACGGCTATATAACCGATCATGCATTTGGATATCACAAATATTTTTTAATAAATATGTAAAAATAACAAATCTTGATTGGGTACCTGTAAAAAAACGACATTGTACGTACTATAAACATTTTTTTCAAATTTTTTCACGAAGCTCTGCGGCATCTTGACTTTTCAACGGTCCGCGCGACTGTGAACCAAGAAGTGTAGAAGAGCTGGAGTGGTGTTCAAGGTTCTTGATTGGGACACATTTTGAGCGCACAGGATGTATCTAGGGTATTTAATATCATTGAGTAACAACCACAACACACTTAAGTTTGTGGGGTAGTAAAACTCGAATACTTAATTTAGCTCAAGGATATTTATTTAAAAATACAATATTAATTACATTTTACTTATTTCAGTCTATTATTATCAAGGGCGGAACCAGCTTTGGCGCCAGGGGGGGGGTCATATAGTCGTGGTCAAGTCACAGTGGGTACAGATTGTGAAGTGGGTACAGATGGACCCAGCCCAGGGGGGGGGGGGTCATGACCCCCCTCTGGAGCCGCCCTTGATTATTATTACATATTATGGAGCTATATTTTTTAATAAACACAAAGATCAGTTTTTATTTAATTTTAATGTATGACATAAAACTTATGCGCGCCATCAACTAAATGGAAAATACAGGTTAATTAATAGTTTTGATAGAAAAGACCAATTGGGCACAGGTATACATAAGCGCGAAATAAGCTAGACTGGAACCAATATTTTATTTTTCAGTAATGGTTTTTCTTAAATGATCTAAATATATTACCTAATGTAATAAAAATATAGGTAGTTGTATAAATACGTACTTGTAGTACTTTAAACGGGGTATTCCTAAGTGACCACCGAGCTGTCCACCTGGGTGGTCAGTTAGAAACTCACATATAATAGTGTGTATCATCGGTTACATTATTAATCTATTCATAGTAGGGCTTAAACTTTCGTTTTCTGTTTGCAGAAACAGTCATCTTCAGGAAGCGGAAAGTGAACTCACACTTTATGCGAGTTGAACAAGCCAAACGAGCTGAGAACAACGAATTATGTAATTCTTTATATGAAATCCTACGAAACCTGGCACCCCCCCGCGACGAATCGAAAATTCCTAGAAGGATTTCAGGATTGGTATGACGTCATCATATTCAGCGCGGGGGATAGGGTCGAATCCATGTCGAATCTCACATTAAGGCCCACTTGCACGTTCCAGGGTTAGTTTATTTATCTCCGAGTTAACTATTGAACTGGGGTTAAAAAAATATTTTTTCTTGCACTGCCCTGAGTTAACACTAAAGCTTAGGTTAAATAATAAAATAATTAACCCGCCAAAGTTGGAGGGTTAAATTGCTAACTCGAGATTTAAAACGTCAAAATTGTTATTATAGGCTGTGTTGTTTGTTTTTATAGAGATAACATTTTATTTTATTTATTTCTGAATGATGGATGACTTTTTGTTTTCTGACAAATATTTATATATTTGAATAAAATATCGCATAGCAGTAAACTGTCACTACTTGTAAAATTCGGGGGCACGTAAACGAGATTTCTTCTTCATTTTACAAAATATAACCGCACGAAATTGTTGTCACAAAATACAAACTTACGAGACAGATAGGTACTTTAAAAACACCATGCAATCGGTATACAAACAACTATTTGACAGACAAAATACAGGACGTCATTCAACTTAAACGCACAAAAACACCACGTCTTTTCAAATTGGACATTACGAAAGAGATATATGCAAGATACTGTTGTGTGAAAAGGAGAACAATACTTATGTCATTCATCATTCTCTCTTTTTGTTGGGTTAGTAAACCCTTGATTATTTTCTGTTCGTGCAAGATAAAATCTGAGTTAAGAAAATGTTATATTAACTTTGAGTTAGTAAACTCGAAGTTATTTTGATACTCAAGATTTACGTGCAAGTGGGCCTTAGACAACTGCCATGTAAGTACATACGCACGCACGTGCATTGTGCATGTGCGTGCATACTTTTATAGCTGTGTTCTAATATTTTGGTGCAGATAATTTGTATGTGAAGCTTACTATAACGAATAAATATTAGTTCACCGCTTATTTATTTTCCAATCGATAATGGCAGATTGGCAAATAGTTTATCATCGCAAATTTCACTTACAATCACTACTAACCAACTGATATCTTTAGAAGTGCACGTTTGTTCTTATGCATAGGGCTGCCATCGCCTACATTGGCGATGCTAAACAAAACATAATACATCCGGACATTTAGATGAAACTGAGTTTTTTTAATAAGATGCCCCATTAAAAGTGTGTCATCATTGTAAATAATATCTAACGTTGTAAATAATTTTTACAGTTCATTTATACAGTTTGTTTGCGTTATATATAACAAATTAACACATAAACTGTTCAAATAAAATTTTACATATAAAAATATTTGTCTTCATTACATGCCTGGTGTTAATGCAAAATTTATTTATTGTCGTAGTTAAGTTTGCTAATCTGACGTAATCACAAAATCACATTTTTAAAAACCAATCTTTTATTTTTTGTTCATAAAAAGAAGTAAAAAGTTAAAAATTATTGAAGCCTGATAAGAAATATACTTCTATTTCACAGGTACATTATATCATATTTTTTTTAATAAAACCGCGTTACACTCTTTTCATTTCTCTGGCCAAAAATGTAACACTTTTATAATAATAATGGGATGTTCTTTTTTAATAACAAGCAATAAAGGCTTGTTTTTTGAAAATATTTTTTTTTATATATACAGGGCGTCCCACGGCTACCTCACACGGAGGGAAAGTATATTAAATATTGAAGATAGGACATTTTACTGAAAGAAGACATCATTTTATTTTTAATAAGAAATAGAACTGCATTCACAGATTTTTTTAAAATCGCCTGCTACAACTGGGAATCAAACACGTGAAATTCGAAACTCACGAAAAACAAAAGAACACAGGCTTGAAAATTTATGTGTTCCATTTTCGAATTATTATTACAAATTTCAGCCAATCGCATTGTAACTGAATTCAAAAAGAAATGCATAGGTACTACAACTTGTATATCACTTTATTATTTTTATCAAGTAATAAGACATTCCTTTCATTTAAAATGCTATGTTATTTAGCAAAACATAATCGTTATGATTAACCCTTTCGATGGTTATCATAAAATATGTCGTGTTTTTTTTTTCGAAATTTCACGAGTTTGATTTCCAGTTGTAAAAGGCGATTTTAAAAAAAACTGTGAATGCAGTTCTAGTTATTATTAAAAATAAAATGATGTCTTCTTTCAGTAAAATATCCTATCTTCAATATTTAATATACTTTTACTTCAATATTTAATTTTTAGAGGTTGCCGTGGGACGCCCTGTATATTTATAACTGTTTTGTATTTATGATTAAAATTAAATATATTTTGCCTCCTCTGAACGTCGTTCCTTTGTGTAGTAGTTTCTTTTAAATTATGTTGTTCCCACAAGTTAATGACACAAAAGGGGCATCATACCAGAGTACCCATCCAAAACTGATGGGATTTTATATTATCTAGGACAAAGTACTCATCACGACTAATCTAATCAGCAAAACACGATGCGGTTACGTCGTTTCATTTTGAAGATCCCGTGGCCACCTTCCAACTTCATTATCAGATCTTGGTGACGATATAGGACCAAAGTGCTCATCAAAACGAAACAAACGAGCCCAAACTTGATGGGGTTGCTTCGCTTCATTAGAGTTTCTATGGCCACCTTCCATCTTCATCATCAGAATAGCTGCATGCCAAATTTCAGCTGAATTGGATAACAAGAAGAGATCAAAAAATGGTTTACAAATTTTGGAACTACCTATCACATACGAACGGTGCAAGTTAAATAAAAGCTTGTAAAAGGACTCCGACTGCTCGGAACATTCAGTGTCGGTGCCGGAAGCTTAAGTTTATCGCCGCTCTGAAACATCTACAGGTTTAGTAGAATAATACAAGCAGTTCTCTAGCAGTCGCAACCAAAAATGCAGTCGGCATGTAAATAAGTTTCGACGTGCTACGTGGTGCTACTGCCAGCAGCAAAAGACTGACTTCGGTTGGCGTGGTTCGGTTCTAATACTACTCGTAGATATCCATCATATATCGGTATTAAGCGAACCACAACACCACGTACCGAGTGTCCGTTATGGAGGTCTTTCATTAAACTTGTATTAAATTTGACACAAATACGATTCCAATATAAAAGTATCTCTACCTGAGTATTTTATTTCGTTTCAAGACGCTACGCTGTGCTCGGCAGGAATTAATAAAATTATTTAGTAGCATTGTTTTTAAACAATTTATGGTTTCCATCCGCAGCAGCTTAGCTAGTCTGACCGCAAATAAAAACTGCCCAGCGTCAAAAGAAACATGCAGCTCTTTACATCACAACTTTGCTAAAATATTATCGTTGACAATGATGAGTAACTGCTTATTAAAAACGCACTTGGAAAGACGAAAAAACGCACTTTCTGAAATATTTAAACGCCGACAAAGAATCAACTAGATTTCATGATCTGACCGTCCGTGTACACAAGGTATTTTCGCCCAATCAATTTCTAACAAATGAACAACGAAAACCTCACTTTTTTTTAAACATTCGAGTAAAACCTGACTTCTGCAACATAATCAGAAAATATAAACCACTAATATTTAAAAAGTAACACAATATAATCAATGAACACTTTTCATTCGTGATTCCTAAACTATAAAGTAAGATCACATCACAACAATGTACATTTGGCAATTAAATTGAACAGGATTAAAACCTTTTGCAAGTTTTCTGTGATTAGGGTAACCAACCATTTGCAACGAGAAGTCCTGACAAAAAGTCGGATTTTTCGGTAAGAAAAAAACCCATACATTCAAGAAGTTCACGAATCATTTAACATAGTCTAGTAATTTTTAATGTTTAAAATACTAATTAAACGTACTCGTACTCAAGCATGACATGTACATAAATACACAAAGCCATATTCCAGTTACATTGATTTGTGTGGTATGTAGTCTAGTTAATATAAACAAATTAATCAAAAATAATAGTAAAAGTAAATTGGAACATTCAAGCACGAACTTTGTTCGGTTTTTTAGCTCCTGCTTTATTGGGCCCAGGCCCTTTGGGCCATGGTCCTTTAGGACCCGGTCTAGCCGGTCCCGGACCCGCGGATCCAGGTGCATGTGGACCCCCAGGGGGACCGTGGAATTTAGGTTTAGGGCCACCCTTTCCCGTCTCGTCTTCCTTCTTTGAATCTCCTTTAGTTTTGAAATCTTTGTTATCAGCTGGTAGTCTCTTTATGAAAAATCTGAATGAAAGCTTCTTATTACTTATAAAATGACTTAAGGAATTGAGTGGCAAAACAGCGCACAAATTTTGACGGAATACCTCATCCGCTTTAACAGCATCATTGAAGCAGTGTTCAGTGAACACAGCTTTTCTCCTCTTGTCTTGTTTACTATTTACGTGTATCTCATAAATGTGTAGTTTTGCTGTGTTTTTGCCCCCAATGAGTTGAACAGCCCAGTACGCCATCTTTTGTATTGTATCAATTTTCATCGTTATGATAAAATGAATCTTTCCTTGGGTAAACAAATATACAAAGCGTTCGTCCGAGTTAACGTTCACATTATCAAGTTCGACATCAGTGTCGCTACTGACATTGCAATGAGCTGGATGGCGTTCTTTGAAGTGATCCATAATTCCGTTTAATTGCCCTGAAGAAGTTACAAAAATACATAATTGTATTACTTAATATATTTCAACTAATATTATGAATGTGACAGTGAACTTGATTATTTGTTACGCTTTTACACCACCACCGAATAATTTAAGTTAAATTTTGGTACAGATATAGATGGGAAGGGTGTAGCGGAAGGGTCCATTTATAATCGTCTCTTACAATATCAAAAATACACATATATCCATCTCCAGAGGGATACGCTGCCCTTTGTTGTGCAACTAAAAAATTGGGGCACCCATCAGTAAGTAGATACCTACATAAATCTAAAATTCATTGGTTTGATTGGTTTTTAATTAGAGTAATAACAAGTTTTCTTATTTTATCTGTATCGCAAAGAAAGAAAGATCCTTACATTCAAACTTAAACAAAATTATGGGTATGGTTCATAAAAAAATTACACTTACCACTCCAAGAGCATTTACCGAAAACAGCACCAAGCGGGCATTCCATCTCCCGGAAAATACATTCTTTAAGATGATCTTCGATTTCAGCACATAACATGGTGTAGATACACCCTGCCGGCTTGTTGGGACAGGATATCTTTGCCTATAATTATGATAATTTATTATCATAACATTATCCTAAACAGAGTCAGAGTGTGCGCTAAAGGCCAATAATGCAAAAAAGAAGGGTGATTGAACGTTCTCAACTTTCAGTTAGATATATATATATATATATATATATATATGATAATAATATGACACGTAAGCAGGTTAAGTTAGGACGAGTATATCAAAAGTGTAAGAAATCAATTGTGTTTTCAAGTGTAAGGTTTCATATAAATATACGAGCGACTTATGGCCGACGGTACCGCAACGCAACTGCAGCCGTCGACCCGCCGACGACCGCCGGCGAGCCGTCAGTCGTAGAAAGGTGGACTGCAGCCGCCGACGACGGTGACTGCTCAGCCGCTTTTACTATGCGATTCAAATAAGAATAGGAAAGCCAATGACCTCCATCTGTCAAATGTCGCTTGAAAAGTACGGTTTGCAAAGAAATCTTTGAACACTTTTTCTAGTGAGTTAATCTTAGAATAAAAACCAAACATTTGTAAACAAAAGAGGGAAGTAAATCATGTGAACGTATAAAAATGAGTACTAGAAAAGGAGAATATAAGAACTTTAGTTTTATTAGGCATTGTCCTAATACAACGCGATAACGCGAATGAGCGATGCGATCATCGTACGGTCGACGATCAAACATATTGATCTAGAATAGGTGTCCTAATAGGCGATCGCGCAATGAATTCGCGCGACTAAAATGTTTAAAAATCTATTCACGCGAACGCGCAATCAAACCTATTAATGATGAATAGGTGTCCTAACTGAAGTTCGCGCGATGATCGCGTCGCGTCGATAGGAAGCGGGGAGAGGGGCAGGGCTAACCTGTTCCGTATTCGCGTTCTATTAGGACACCCAGTTCGCGATCACGCGATGGTCGCATCGTTTAAACGCGCGATGATCGCGTTATCGCGTTGTATTAGGACAATGCCTTAGAAATACAAGTAATAAAAAGACCATTTTTATTTTAAATAAAGTTGTCGTTTTGATGACGATGATGATGACTACTCCGACGGTAGTGCAGAGATGAGCGGAATTAAAGAGCAAGATTCTGATTAATGTTTTTTGTGACTTAGTTTTAATAAATAAATATTATAAAAAAATATGTTTTTATTAATATAATTATAAAATAATAATAAAATGCTATTTAAAAATTGATATTTTTTCTAGTGAGAAAGTGATTGATATTTTTCTAGTGAGAAGTGTCTCACTCTTGGTAAATAAGTTTTAATCTAAAGAAATCCGATGCGGATTGCGAAGGGTGCGGGTTCGAGTCCCGCCCGCTGCCTGGTCCGCGTGGATTTTTTTCTAGTAAACTTTTCTTTAGATTTAAACATCTAGCAGTGATGTCGATTCTGGCATGATTCTCTAAAGCTAAACTTAAATTTGACAACAGTGCATCTCTGTCATTCTCTATACAGAATGAAAAGGAGAGACTGACGTTAAATTTAGTTTTAAGTTTAGAGAATCACGCTAGAATCGACACCAGTTTAATGCTTAAAAAATAAATAAAAACATAAATAAGTTTTATTAAAGAAAAACTTTTTTGCTCACACAGCTATGACGTCACAACATGGCGCCCAGTAGGTCCAATTCTTAGTTGAATCGCACTGTATATATGTATAATAAAGCCTTAGTAGTTTCGTCTAATGTGGCCAATCCTTTCTAGTAGACAGACAGTAAAATGTTTGTGTAGTGTAGTTCTATGTTAGGTAGTGTAGTATTTTACCTTAAGAATGATTTCTTCGAGTTGCCAGTTCCTCATTTGCGTCATTCCCTGACGACAGATGGGACAGAGTGGAGGACACAGACCTTTGGTGCACTTATCGCACAAGCTGTGGCCCCAGCTGCATTGGAATATCGGCACCGTCATTACCTCCAAGCAAACTGGACACTCTGGCAGTTGTACTGCTGCAGTGGCAGCATTTCTGGCATAAAAATAAGTTGATTCTTTACATATTTTTTTTGTAGAAGGTAGGGAAAAGAATCCACGAATTCTTTAATGACAGTACTACTCATATAGTACAAACAAAAATGAAATGAAAATTTTTGTTTGAAGAATTGTGTAGTGAGTAATGTCAACTTTTGAAAATAACTATTGCAATAAGGATGCGTGTAAGTTATTGTTAAATTAATATGTGAAAGAAAATGTTTGTAACTAATGGATAAAATAACATTTTTATAATGGATACTCACTTAATTGGTTTTGCTGTCGCCATCACGTCTAATAAGTACCAGATCTGAGACCTATAAAGAGTTTTTTTTGTAGTTAGATATCTACAACTACTAAAGTTTCTGGCTAAAGCTCTTTAGATTTAAAAATCGAGCAGTTACATGCTTTAAAAATAAAAATTATAACTATAATTGCTATTTCTTCATTGAAATGTTTAATACTTTTGTACTTAAAAGGTATTCGTTTGACATTGTGGAAAACCTGCAATGCCAAGAAATGGCGTTGCCTTGCAGCTTAAGAAAGGCTAGAAAGAATTCGACATGGCCATCAGGGCCGCGGTAGCATAATGGTCAGTGCATCCGCCCGGATAGCCAAGGGTGCGGGTTCGAGTCCCATCTGCTGCCTAGCCCGCGTGGTTTTTTTCTGGTAATATATTCTTTGTCTTTTTTTTGTTCTATATAATCTTGAGGTTACACTAATCTAGCACTAATCACTATTTCAAATATTTAAGTCTCTGTTTAACATGCACACCAAAAATACTTCTTATAAACTCAGATAGTAGTGTACGTACCTACCTATATGCCAAGAGATTGAAAAATGGAAACGCAATGCACTAAAAGTTGGTAAGAAATTACGTCATTCATACATAAGAAACAAAAGTTCTTAACTGTAAAGCATGTAAGTACTTAGATAGGTATTTAACGCCACCGAAGATGTAAGTTAAATGCAAGTTAGTTAGAACATTATATTGCAATTATAAACAACAAACGAAAACAGAGACATCTAACAAAGTACAATAAGTAGACAGAAACTAAAATTGATAAGGCATGTTGGAGTATGTACATAGGTACAATAGATAGCAACAAAAAACACTAGGTATTATCAAGTAACAGGTTTACCTAAAACACGAGTAGGCATTGAATTTTTCCTTATCGATCAGGCGAGGTTATGCATTTTTTTTATCAAAACTCTTAACACAACCAATTGTCATATAACACTGGCTAGATAAAATACTGATACTTTTTATTACAAATAACTTGATAATAATAATTGAATGATCACAAACATATCTATCTAAAATAGAAACACATGAATGCTCAGATATATAATGTGAGTATTGAATAATTGTATTTGCAGCACCTATTGTTATAAAATTATGTGGAACCTTTGTTTAAATGTTCTTTTAGAAAGTAAAGTACTTTTATGCTTACCTAGAAATCACACGTCACCTTTGATGTTTTCACGTCCTCAGCAGAAAATAAAATGATGTGAGTGAATGAATAAGTGTGAAGTAGCTTATATAGTTATTTATGATCCCAAACCAGAGAGAAGTAAGTAAATGTACAAATACTATACATATTTACATTAACATAAGGTCCTAATTTGCCTATCGTAGTAACATAAAATTGACAGACTAAAAGAATTATCAGGTATCCCCCAATCTTAACCTACTGGTGTTACCAACCTAAATATATACATTTGTTTGTGGTCGTTTAACTCTGTGTATTATATCATGGACGTACTATACAAACAGGACCGTGTACTTTTTACTCATAAAACGGTCAGAGTGAGAGATCCAAAAACAAAGGATTTGATCTTTTTCTATTATGTCCATAATGTTTATTAATTTATTGGGAATTCAAATATTATTATTGAAGTTGTACTTCTTTAGGCGCGTTATGAAAAAATGATGAGAGTGAAATTTTAAGATGCGCGCGCATCACTGTAACACTAATTATTAACAGCATGAAGTTGGTCGCTTTAGCGACCAACTTCATGCGTTACTTTTGTGTTAACCGCACATTAAGAAAATCTACCAACAAAATAGAAATAGAATCTCTATTTAGTGGGTGCTAAGTTGTGAAGGCCTATCAAAAGTATTTATTAATCTGGAACAACGGAACCAAAGCGCGATTCAGGAGACTACAGCGCCATCTCTTGACCATTGGTGTAGTAGAACCAAAAACCACATCTTTATTTTTTGTAGTAAAGTAACAGTTATAGGTATTCATATTTATAATATTTATCCACATGTTTCTAGTTTGTATATTCGGAATACGTGTTTGAGTTTCATACAAGTGCAAATCACATATGTTCTAATAAATTATATTCAGTAGTGATTTTAATTGAATATTTTGATTATTTATTTATTTTTTCAAATTAAAACTGAACTTTATTGACTGTGTCCTTTTCCAGACTTTTTATTAATTTATTTTAATTAATTATTTGCATGCAATTAAAAACTAATTTTAAACGATGCCAAAGAAGGATAACTTCTCACGCGCCTACATAAGTACAAGCACCCATTTTTTTTTATATTTTTAATGAGACTGGGCCCTATGTCTGTTTCTTCACATCTTGGGTAACAAAGCAGTGATAATTATTCTCACCTTATAGAGTGGTGTGCGTGAAAACCTTAGAAACGAATAATAATTATTCTGTTATCTCACATTACATTATGAGGTATTTTGTGGGTATGTTATTTCAGGAAGAATTAATCATAAATTGGTCTTAGAGCATTCATACCTGGAGAGAGCATGGACGGGCGTACCCCTCCGCCAAAACAATCATGGCCAGTGGCCATGATCGTTATATAAAACTAGTTCACGCGAGACCGCTACCACTTTAGATCACTTACTTTACTCTTTGTTTAGATCGTTCCGCAGCGTGAGTCGGAGCTCCCACAAAAATGGAAAATTATGTTGTTTTCCCAAGCAAAAACCGATCTGCCACTTCAATCTTGCTGAAACATGGTGTTTCCTAACATATACAAGTATTTTTAAGTTCTAAAAAGTTAGTATTCTGGTATAAAATTCAATTAAAAGAAAAGGCGCGAAATCACGAATGAATGACAAAAATAATAGGTAGAAATTCATAGTGTTGTGACGAAAAATGAATGAAATGAATCAATAATATTTTTTATACTAGAAAACATTCAACCAGATTTAATTAAGTGTATCTGTCGATACAAATAGCATGTTGATAAAACAAATATACATCGACAGATCTTATAAAAAAAACAACTATTCAATCATTCACGACGATCTATAACTTAACCAAACAAAGGCTTCTTCCTGGTTCTCTAAGCTTAAAACTAAATTTAATATTAGTATCTAAAGAAAAGTTTACTAGAAAAAAAATCCACGCGGACCAGGCAGCGGACGGGACTCGAACCCGCACCCTTCACAATCCGGGCGAATGCACTGACCATTATGCTACCACGGCCCTATTGGCCGCGTCGAAATTTCCCTAGCCTTAAGCTGCAAGGCAGCGCCATCTCTTCGCATTGTAGATAACCCACAATGTCAAATGAATACTTTTTCAAGTATTAAACATTTGAATGAAGAAATAGCGATTAATAGTTATGTTTTTATTTATTTTTAAGCATTTAACTGCTAGATGTTTAAATGTAAAGAAAAGTTTACTAGAAAAAAATCCACGCGGACCAGGCAGCGGACGGGACTCGAACGGCACCCTTCGCACTTCGGGCGAATGCACTGACCATTATGCTACCACGGCCCTATTGGCCGCGTCGAAATTTTCCTAGCCTTAAGCTGCAAGGCAGCGCCATCTCTTCGCATTGTAGGTAACCCACAATGTCAAATGAATACTTTTTCAAGTATTAAACATTTGAATGAAGAAATAGCAATTATAGTTATGTTTTTATTTAATATTAGTATCTCATTCTGTATAGAGGATGACAAGGATACACTTGTCAAATTAAAGTTTAGAGAACGCTTCCATATTCGACACCAAAATCTTTCTTTCGACGTTGAAATGCGATAACATGTTTTACGATACGATGACGGTAAATAGCCACAAAAAAATTATAAACAATTATTAAGTGTGAATTCTGGCATGCATAATTCTCTTAAGTAAATTTAACATTAGTCACTCCTTTTTAATTCTGTATAGAAAAAGACAAAGATAGATTGTTGTCAAAAATTTAAGCTTTAGAGAATCATGCCGGAATTGACGCCATAATTAACTTTCTATTTTTTTTGTTTGTTTATTGGCAATAAAGTGGTGTCGATTCTGGCATGATTCTCTAAACTTAAAACTAAATATTACATCAATCTCTCCTTTTCATTCTGTGTAGAAAATGACAAGGATACACTGGTGCCAATTCTGGCGTGATTCTCTAAACTTAAAACTAAATTTAACATCAGTCTCTCTTTTTCATTCAGCATAGAGAATGACAAGGATATACTGCTGTCAAATTTAAGTTTAGGTTTAGAGAATCATGCTAGAATCGACACCAATGTTGTCATATTAAGTTTAGGTTTAGAGAATCATGCCAGAATCGACACCATTGATGTAAATAGCGTTTAAGTAGAAGAAAGTGAATCAAATTAAGTAGTTAGTTATCAAGTCAGCTGCCCACATCGAGCGACTTTTATTACATTTTAATTAACAAACTTTTTTTAATAGCTTTCAAATGTCAAATTAAGTGGAAATGCCATCACACGAGGCCCTAGATTTTATTTAGTTGCACCATGATTATTATCGTGTCGTGAAAAAAACTAACGTTTACGATATACTCACGAACGTTTGTTCATGGATTTTGCAATTCGTATTTCTCTATAGTCCAGGAGATAAAAACTTATATTGTTAAGATTCTGTATTAAAGAGAATTGTAGGTTTTTAGATAAATCAAATAATGTTTTCGCCATAACTTATGTTATTTTTATTATTTACTAGAGTTTTAAAAACACAGTTTCTTTTATATGTAGTAGCGTATTTTATTGTAATCCACAAAAGCGGTACCTAATTACTATCTGGGACGACATATAATACAACTTGAGGACATTTAATTTCCAGAAACTTGGAGTGCTATGGAAGTTGTCTGTCTAAAACAGATAAGTACTTTAAGGTGTCGGAGAGTCACAAAATCGATCTTTTAAGTTTCCGTGCCTACAGTGCCATTAGGACTGCATAGTCCCAAAATCTGAAAAACAAAAATTCTTGGATCTCGAGAAAAATGTTGTTTTCGTAATCAGCACCATTTAAAACTATAAATTCGATAAATCTCATATTATCCTTCAAGTGTTGCCATATGTTGGACTGGAGGAGGGCCAGTCGTCGTGCCCGATGAAGTCGATTTCACGCGCCGCCAGCCAGTCTTGTATGCTCTTCGCTCTATGAGCTGGCGCCGAATCTTGTTGGAATACCCAATGCCTGTTATTGAACATGGTATGAGAAATAGGTTCCACAAGGTTGGTCAGGACTGTATTTTGATACACAACTGCATTCGTTTTTACACCTTTCTCACAAAAATGTACCTCTGTTAAGCCCTAGTAAGAAACTCCCAACCATACTATGAGCAAGAATGGAAAATGACCTCGTTGGACGCGCGGAATATGGTTGCTCGCTTCTTCACTACTGTGTGCGTACACCTTATCATTTTGTTTGTTGTAGCTCTCTTCCACGGTAAAAACAACACGCTCGTCTTTGTGGGAGTATTGCATATTTTCATTAGTGTGCTATACGTGTGTACCTCGTCCCGCACCATAAATGGTGAAAATTTTTGTTTGGCGAGTGAACGATTTGCACCTCCTGGTATAAATGCTCTAAGTAAATTGGTATAATAATATAACCACGATTTCACGAATACAAATCATGCATGACGTATGGCTGGATTGAATAATGTCCCGTATTGAGAGAAAGAGAAATTTAAACCATGCATTTGACAGTGTTTGAGTTAACGTTTATAAGCTGACGTTACTTATGATTGGGTGGCCAGTATCATTACGAAATTGTTAAATTTATAAACAGAATTTAAAATTTATATTACAATTTTACATGTATCTGAAACAAACAACGTGGAGCTAAAGAAGTTTCACTTCAGTCGTGTGTTCATAAGCACACTCGCTTTTTTTAATCAATCAACAAAATAAATAAATAATCAACAAAAGGATGACACGTTGTTTGTTTCATATACATGTTGCTTTGGATGTTGCCGTGTTCCCCACTCTGAATGGAGAGCAAGACGAAACATTATAAACATTTAGTTTATATAAGCATGGACGCAGTGTTGTCCAATGACCAAGTTTCAAAGCTCACACTTCTGGTATGATCCTGTTGTGTTTTTTTAGATACTTTAAAAGTATAATACAATGATACATATGAGTCACCAGTTGCAAGAAATCTTAAAGTAAAAGCTAATCTTTGCTGGTGCTGAATAGAATTCCGAAATTTCGTTTCCTGTCTTGTTATTGATGGCCCAATCAATCTCAATAATATTTAAAATCGATTTTTAACATTGTAGTGAACTTATGAAATACCCATCAACTCCACGAAGGCCATTAAATACATAACTTCTACTTAAATTGTAGTTTTGAACCCACCACATTTTCCTTTTTTTCCTGTAGGACTGTCATCTATTACTGCCTATAAAGTAGCACAGAGCAACACTACCTCCTCGACATAAACAGTGTATCAACAAATGTTACCTAAAGAATACGCGGCATGACTGTCCGTGTTATTACATTGTCCATGTTAGCTTTCAAATGATAAATGTTTCATCGTAGCCCGAAAGTGATAACTACTTTGAACAGTCTCCTTTCATCGCTGGCGAATCCTTCCTTCTTTCATATTTTTTATTTACTTGACATTGGTCGATACCAATGTCGATGCAATCATGATTCTGGCATGATTGTGGCGTCGATTCTGGCCAGCTTCTCTAAACCTAAACTTAAATTTGACAACAGTGGTGTCGATTCTGACATGATTCTCTAAATCTAAACTTAAATTTGACAACAGTGTATCCTTGTCATTCTCGATACAAAATGAAAAGAGAGACTGATATTAAATTTAGTTTTAAGTTTAGATAATCATGCTAGAATCGACACCAGTGTATCCTTGTTATTCTCTTAACAGAATGAAAAGGAGAAACTGATGTTAAATTTTGTTTTCAGTTTAGAGAATCACGCCAGAATCGACACCTCTTTACACCTATAATTAAATTTAAAAACAGTGTATTCTTGTCATTCTCTATATAAAGTGAAAAGGGCAGACCATACATTTTTTTATTTAGAGAATCATGCCAGAATCAACACCATTGACTAAATTTACAAACACAAAGCATAGTTGCCATAAAAAATGTGATAGGCTGTATTGGCATTGTTCCCTTTACCTTCCCTGAAAAGGAAAGTTGGTTCATTTGGCAATTCTAGGAGAAACAATTCTGCAAAACGTAAGTTTTTATTTTATAAAGCGATTGGGGGTTATCTTTTAGAAAACGTATCATTTTGGGGAAATAAAAAATCAGTTTGGGGAAATCATTAAATTGCAACTGGCAACTCTGCACGTACACACATACCGTATCCACAGTGGCGGCGCTAGGCGTCGGCGACGTCGTCAGCCACCGCCGACGGCCTCACGCCTGAGGGGGCCTCGCAAAAAATTTTACAAGTTACCTATTTATTTTCGTTTACAATTCGGGGAAAAATTTAAGCAGATGATAATGACTTTTATTATTTTCGAACACGTGCGTGATGGAAGCAAGTAGTACTTTACAGGTATTCAGAATCGTCTGTCTGGCAACACTGTTTTTGTAATGTATACGACTGAAGAACTGGTATCCATGGTCATGAATAAATTAAAAAAAAAAAAAAAAAAACTATGTTTGTAATTATTTTTTGTCATTGGTTCCATATAGTGTTGGGTAGGACACGACTTGAAAAACAGTTTGTAAGAGTAGCCTCTTTTTTGTACTGAGCCAGTACAATAATGTCCCACTTCAAATGAGGCGAGGCGTACTGAAGCTCGGCAATACATTTGAAGTGACGAGTACAAATATGACATTGAGGCGTACAGAAGCTCGACATTACGTTTGTGTGCACGAGTAGCACCTCCTCTACGCACTATCAATCTTGCTGGATCCAGCATGCAGGACAGCGCTATACACGTAAAAGAGATAGAGATACAGATGGATAGTGCGTAGAGGACTTAAATAAAATATCATGCCTCGCTCTCTCTCAGTCAGACTTACGAAGAGTGAGTGAGTAACGAGACGCGACTATCGCGACATTTAATGTGAAGTAGTACATTTTAAAATATTGATCCGCTCTTACATTTTGACATCATGTCCGGGACAAATGTACCGCCTCTTGTAAGTCCTACTCAACACTAGTTCCTTACTGCGAAGTAAAACAGGCCTCACGAACTTGATGTCGCCGACGTCCACATGTGGTCTAGCGCCACCACAGCTTATCCATTGCCAATAAATTAAAAAAAATAAAAAATAATAATAAATAACACACATACTTAGCGTCATAGTTTTAGTAATTGGTTTTATTTTACGAGATTTTCGTCACTAAGATCACTAAGTAGCAAGTTGCGCTAACGTAACGTTTTTCAGTATGGAATCGAATTACTTTAAGGTAGCTGAAGATCCCGAATTATTATCTAAATTTATAGATAAATACGTTAAATTGCAAGTAATCAAAAATACATCATTTACAGGCTTTGTACACTCTATTGATCCCATATCATTCAGGTAAATGAATCATTTACAATATTTTAGATACACGCACGTTACCTATTATTTAAAATAAAATATAAGTAATAATAATTTACTCATTGCTTTCTATTTTAGTGTTTTAATCTCTGTGCCTCAAGAAGACCAATATCAAACAGTTTTGATCCCTGGTCATGCTATCTTAGGAATTACCGAAACGGAACCTTCAGCAAATGCAAAGCCTCCTCAAAGAAAAAGAACCACCTTAGATGACTCCATTCAAATATCAAGAAAAGAGACAATTGTGAAGTGGCTGAAATGGAATATGTTACCAGTTACTGAAGATGGGGACAAAATAGTTTTTGGAAATGCGAGTATTCTACCACCATACAGTGTAATGGACATATGTACAGATAATCCAATGGTTGCAATACAAATGAGAAAAATTATTGAGAATATGCCACATGATTTTGAATCTAACTGATTTGATCTAATACTGTTAATACTATAATGCTGCCTTGTAAATATCCATTAAGAATAAAAAGAACTAGTATTGCTATCACAGAAAAAACTTTCTTCCTAGTCTACAAAAGCATGAGCTGTTCTACTACATAACCTATATGTATATAAACCTATAGGTATGAACCTAATGTTAATCTGGACTCTCACACCCATTTTTAATAGATTCATAATAAAATTGGTTTAAGAGTTAAAATGGTTTCGAATAACAAATTTATATTAAGTTCATTTAATTATGTGAAAGTCCCTGAGATTGAAAAAAGAGTCGACCCTAAGATATGTATTATTCAATAAAAGTTGCTCTGATAGACTACAGGCACGTGTCAAAATTGATGGATCATTACTGTATCAGTACGGCATTCTTACCATTGATAGATCCATGAAAAATAATAAGAAAACACATAGTGCCATACAAAAATAGTACACCACAAAGTAATAAAATTTTTGATTTTCCAACAATTTTCAGGGTATATTTGGTCATTTGATTCGGTATGGCATTGGTTCTGTAGATTTTCAATACCTCTGAGTATAAGATTGGAAAAAAGTGTTATTTTCAGATGAAACAAAAATAAATATGGTAAATTCTTCTGGTGGTTCCCATGACACAGGCCTGTTGTCTATGACAGTATGGAAATCCGCTCAGACTGGTCATTGTGAAATTTGCAAAACTTCCACAATCAACTGAGTACCGAACATACTGAGTACAAAATCACCAAACTCCACAAACATTGGTCATACTAAAATTTACCTTATAATACATAGGGCTGCCATCTCTAAAATGTGGCAACCAGGACAAGATGCGTGATAACCCCGGATTTTGGAGCCCACAACCCCGACAAGACCAATAAAAAAACAGTTAAAAATGTCACAAATCAACTTTTTTTATGTTGATGTAGGCAAAAGATCTAGCAGTCCACCTCATAATAAGTTGTCACTGCTGTCCATGGACACTTGCAGCACCAAGGGCCACTCATGCATTGTCGGCTCTGAACGAAAAGGTTCATCCGCCTTTTTAAGATTACCATATCATAGCTATAAGAAAAAAATACTGAGGAAAGTTCATTCCAGATCTTGCTGGTACACAAAAGAAAGGAACAAATGGTGCTCGAACGCCTTGACATCCAGATGGTGGGCGTTAAACTTCTCTGCGGTGTGTGGTGCTGTGGAGAAACTTGGCCACTGGCATCCGGTTGAATAATAATTCCTCGAAACACTCTCCATTGTATAGACGGTACAACACGTATAAGGAGTTGCGTTCTTGTGCGTGTTGTACCGTCTGCGAATGCTAAGGGGTTGCAACGCGTCAGTGAGCTCAGGATCATCGATAAGTCAAACTGCGCGCTTTTGTATCCGGTCAAGAGGAAGGAGCTGGTATTGGGGTGTTCCAGCCCAGAGGACCAGTGCTTTGTAAAGTAACGCCCGATATTTAGGCTTGAAGTACTTACTAGATCTAAGGACCCAAGCTTTTTCACACACTTGTGTCTTTGCTGGGTTAATCCAATAAAATTTTGTTGGCTCCAATTTCAGACTTGATCCAGTAACATCTCAATCTCGGACACAAGTCTGTCTTTATACCCTTCTTCTTCCATCCGAGGGATGTTTGATGAGTGTAAAAAGTGTCAGTGCTGTCATCCACATAGCAACGAATGCTGTTATTGCGTACAGCGTGAGCGACAGAGCTGATCTTTGAGAGAGAAAAGATTTATTTATTTTGCAAATACATTTAAATTGACTACCCAAAACAGAAATTTTTTAAACCCGGACTACAAATGAAACCCCCCCCGGACGCTCCGTAAACTAGGACAAATCCGGAGAAACCCGGACGGATGGCAGCCCTAATAATACATGACTTTAGTTAGGGTTTCAGTATGGATTCTGAATGGACTTGTTCCACTCAATCATAAGGTGCAAGGAAATCAAAGGAAATTTTTATGAGTTTCAATACAGCAATGGGGGGGGGGGGGGGGGGGGGATATTGAAGGACAACTTTTTAAGAAATTGTTTCTCTTAAGACAACATTATAGTGGCGTGAGTCTTACCCATTTTCTTAAGCATTTTTTAAAGTGCATTTTGCGCCTCCTATACCCAGCGCCTGTCAAATCGTATTTGTTTGAGTAAACTAAATTTTGCCACTACTTTTATATGAATATACGAGGCGCAACAAATTACCTCACCCAACCTGATGTTAATTGTAGGTATAGTCCAGTTAGATGATGCGGCAGAAGGTGTGCCGCTCCCGCAATCCTCACCATGTCGGGCTGAACCCATCCCTTGCTTGCTTTCGTAAGTTCTTTATTTTATTTAGCAACCCCGTTTGAAAACGAGCAGTAAATAAATACCTACTTATTTGCCTCCCTCTTAAAAACGCGGCAGGAGCGGACCACCCGCGCCGCTAAGCCTTTTTGTGTCAAATGATTCGAGTCGAATATGAAAAAAGTCAGTTGAACATTACATGCCGCCTCGTATCACACCAACTACCTTCACTTTACCAATGTAAAACCAATAGGCTAGTCTACTCATGTCAAATTGTATTAAATAAATGTTTATTTCTTAAAGTATTTAGTCTAAGGAACCTTAATATATCGATTTCACTTCATAAAAGCAGAAGATTGCTGTAGAAATTTAATTTTAAAAAATATTTTTTAGTCTATATTTTTTAAACACTAAAAACGCTGTTCGCCACATCCGCCATGATTTTGACGTCTCTTCTGGTAAACAACTAAATGTCATTCGCGTGTTACTGTAGGTGGATTCTTTCGTCTGACTAAATTTATCATAAAACACTTTTAACTTTAGGAAAGAAAAAAACAGTAAACTTAGTTTTTTTTTGACAAAACTAATTATGGATGCCGGCTTTGTGAAAGCAGAAAGCACAAATCTGCCAAGAATTGACGCATTGATGGTTGGTGAATTTGTTGCACTAAACCCCGATTTCTGCTCTGCGGAGCAGAGAAACGACAAGGCATCTATGTAAGTACAGTGCATTTAGTATTACAATGTAGTAATAAACATAAAACTGATACAACATATGAATAAGTGTAATAAAGTTGCGTAGGTTAATTTCTTTCGGCACTTTAATCGACAACTTTCCTGGAGTCTTCAAGGATGTGTTTTTATATTCTCGTACAATACAGTAATGATAATTACTTTATTTTTCGTGGTATTTATTAGAAATCATGTTTTTGTTTATTATAAACTCAGTTAAAAGTAATTTTCTACGTGTTTACGAGTTTTTGTTTACGACAGTTCACGTCATAGCATAGATAATCTATAGACTAAAATGGCCGACAGCGTTTTTGTATGTCCATGAAAAGTCTATTTTAAAATTAAAGATTTGTAGCTTTCTAGGTTTAAAAAAAATACAATACATTTTTTTTCGGTGTAATAGAACATTAATTAACCATTTAAAACCTTTTTCCAAAAAGGGTCAACTAGCCTATTCCATACCACAGAATCATAATGGTATCAATCGTAGCAGGAACTCCAAAACTTCATAATTTTTGCTAGCCTGCATGCAGCGCAGCCAGACTTAGGGTGCGGCCAGAGTGCACTCAGATTCAGAGTCAGATTCAGATTCTGAAAACAAGCGCGAGAAATAAACAGTGTAGTCTAAGCAGGTTGCCTGCTTTTTCTCGCGCTTTGTTTTCTGAGTCTGAATCTGAATCTGAATCAGGAGTGCACTCTGGCCGTACCCTTCGACTACACTGTTTATTTCTCGTGCTTGTTTTCAGATTCAGATTCAGATTCTGAGTCCGAATCTGAATCTGAATCAGGAGTGCACTCTGGCAGTACCCTTCGACTTCAAATAGTTCGTTTCCTTCTTTTCTTTAAGGGAGGGATTGCAGAACAGCTTGGTCTATCGAAGTTTTGAACTGAACTAGTTGACACCTTTTCTGTCATATTAGAGATGGAGGTACGATTAATTGATAATTTGGGAGATAATGTATCGCTAAACAAAATTGTTTTAAGGTTTATAGCTGTATTTTAATTATTTATTAAGTTGTAAGTCATAAGAGATACGAAAAAGTTCAAGAAATCTCAAAATTTTATAAACAAATGCATGTATTAGCTGATAAACAATAGTTACAAACTTGGTTTTTAGCTTATTTTGAAGATTAATTAATGCTTTATAAAAACGACCTGAATGTCCATTATCGTATCTCGAATAGTTTATAAGTTATACTAATTTTTTACTTGACAAATCAAGTGTCCGGTGCAACTTTGGTATCGTGTAATATTTAAAAGCGTTATAAAAAATAGAAAAAATTTTTTTTAGTATTTTGATATATATGGCTGTTTTTGTTATTTTTTTTAGCTCTAGAAAAAAAATATAACGGTAGTTAGAATTTGATTATAACAAATTGTTAAGTTGACAAACAATGAAATTATTGATAAAAAAATTTTTTTTTTCTATTTAGGTACCTATGAAGAAATGTCAATTATGATTTTTAAAGAGAAAATCATTCCTTAACTAATTATTTAAACAATCGAAATATAAAAAAAACGACTATAAACAATAAAAAAAATTATTTAAGAAAATTTTTGCCAAGACAACATAATGGTAAAAAAAATTTCTTTAAATATTAAACTTGTCTATTTGTTTATAAACAATTTCTTAACAAATGATGTAAAAATTTTTTTCCGATGTTACTTAATGCCATTGTTGGATAAGAAAGCAGCAATAATATGACATTTGTTTAAAAAAAATTTTTTAATAACATTTCTTAGACTTTTCATTTTTTGTTAACTTTAAAAAATTGTTATAAACAAAATAATTAACTTTAATAAACTTTTATCGCGGGATCTTGTTAAGTATATATATAAGAAGAGCTCCACAGAGCCAAAAATTTATAGGTTTATTATTTAAATTTTTATGTCGTCATTTATGAAAACGGAGATAGGAAAAAAATTCGTTAATTAACAATTCCATAACTTTTTGAAAAATTAATTTAAAAAATTTTTTCCAACGGGAATATATTCTTTCAAGTATCTGGATGACACCATAATTTATTTAAATTTTTAAATTCATATTTGTTACTATAAAAAAGAAACTGTCTTTAACGGCAATGCGCCCATGCCGTAATGGCTGCGCGGAGCCCTATTTTCAGCGTTAAATTAAAATTATAAATAATAGAGGTAGAGTTCCGGGAGCTGGGACTTTTTTTTTGGGAAATTTCCTCCTCTTTAAGGACCTTTTTTCCAAATATCGTAAATATTAATAGTTTATGAGTTATTAACAAAAACGTAAATACCTCTTTTTTTTCATCTTATTTTGTTAATAACAATTGCAATTTTTTACGTGCAGTAAAATCCTCAAAACTCATTTTTCTAGAGGTCGTTCCGAATCCAATGAGCTATTGCTCATATTTTTAGGAGCTTTATCTCTATTTTTCACGTTTTTGAACTTGTTGACTGGACTATCATGAGCATGACGCATTAGTAGTAGTATGAGAGGTGCGAATGAGAGTGGACGACGGGCTTACAATTTTCTTTTTGCGCGTTTGATATTCGCGTTCGCCGAAATTGCTAATAGGTATAAAAAATTTAATTCCTTAAGTTGTATTCAAGCAAAAAACTGCCTGTAGAAGCCGAAAAATAGTCAATATTCACCAGCTTCTTCTTTTCCATTTCTTTTTTGCAACGCTACTTCGCTGCTGCTCAAGTAGGTAGTAGTTAAAAGTATTAAATAAATAAGTTACTGCGGTAGCTACAATCGCATTTTTTTTTGAAATGTTGCTTGCATGCGACGGCCTACCGCGTGGATGCACCCCGCTCGGCCGTAGGCAGTTATTTCAAGGACAGGGCAGTACTGCATAGATAATATTACCGTGTCGTGGTGATCCATCTTTTGATGCATCTGTCGACGCCCGCGGACGCATTCGTCGTCGAGAAGAGGAGGCATAATGTTTACCAGCCTAAACATTATGCTGACACTGCTTTGCATGTAATCTCAAGGCAATCACAATATTTTTCGTACGAAGGCATGAGATGTTGTTTACTTATTAAAAGTCACACTATTAGGTATGTATTTTCTAACGATCTTCAAAAGTTTCTGATATCCGTTGCAGCAGTGGTACTATCCTGTAAGAACAAACTCATTTTTCACCGCGGAAATCGCCAGTGTGATTTGAAATTTGTGTTCTACTTATTTAATTCCGCGGAATCCGATTTATTGCTATTCTACCGCAGATTTTACTTGCCAGACTTGCCAACCTCAGTTCTCATCTTGGGCGTAGCGTGGGTGTCGGCCGCCCGGGGCGAAAGACAACTTTGCCGCCTTCTTATTTAAATGGTTGAAATATTTTTATTATTTATTGTAAAATTTTACCGCCCCCTAAGAAGTGCCGCCCCTGCCGCCCCCACTACGCTACGCCACTGTCTTGTCGGCCAGCGATATTTCCTTAAAACTTCTTTTGATGGACACTGGGTTGTAGGAAGGAGGGAACAAGAGCACGGGTGAAGAATTTTATTTGGGAATAGTAGGAACCAAAACAAGAAATGGCAATGAAAACATTAAACTTTCTTGCAAGGCAGCGTAGGCCAGCGCGTGTGGTCCTATGAAGGAAAGGAATGTAGTTGGGATCAGAGAAAATAATTCCTCCAATCACTTGCTGTTTGTAGTATAGCGATAGACGATAACATAGAACTCGAGGTTGTGTCACCTCTACTGTACTAACATTGTCAATAATGTGGGTCCAGCGAGCGGTGCTTCAATTTATCTAAAGCGTTGTGCTAGTGGTCACTTAGTGGTCGGAGGGAGCCGGAGCCATCCTAGGACCCGATCTAGAAATTTCGTCGTTCCGGGCAAAGATTTTAACTGCCTTGACGTGACGTACTTTACGGCTGATTCTGATTAATTTTGCCGCTCTGGACAAATGTTCGGCTCGTCACCCCTTTGATCGGGCCCTGCCTAGGAGTGAGCAATACCGCGTTACTAGTTTCTTTTATGTGTAGGATGTGTGTAGGTAAGTATTACGTTTTGTGACGGACAAAGAACGCGACTGTGGGTGCGCGAAGAGTGCCGTAAAGACTAGTTCTATGCCTTGTTAGACTTATCTTTTTGTGCTTATCAGTATCAATCTAACGCACATACATATATATCTACTACCTATCATAAATGTAATTTAACGTAATGTGAACGCATCATTTACCTACATTAAACATGTTTTGTCAATTTGAAATTTTAATTAAATGTTGATGACACGAATCAGCACTCAAGATAAGAAACAAGTGAGAATCGGACGTTCTCTTCGTTTTATTGCAGTCTTTTATATACTTTTTTGATTTGATATACGGTTTTTATATTATAAAATGGCAGATAAAAGAAATAGAATAGTGCAATATTCGGCAGGGCTTTCCGGTAAGTGTATTAAGCGGGAGATTTAAATATAACTGTCTTCGATTAAAGCAATATATACTTAAATGGGTTTGTCTGTGTTTGGTTAGCGGCATTCACATTTATGTTCACGGGGGCAACTCTGTCGTGGCCTTCACCAGCCATACCCAAGTTCAGGAGTGGAGAAGCGGATTTAAAAATAACAGACGTGAGTCCCGAAATTATATATTTTATTTATACAAGTTGCAGCAAACTTCTTTCCACCTGATGATATAAGTTGTCTCTAGTAGCGACGATACTTAAGAGCATTTGCTCGGAATCTCTAGAAAAATACATAGTAATAATCATATATTTATTTTTCCCGTAAAAAAACTTGCAATGTTTTACTTATTATCAAGAAAAATAGCGTAATAAAATAGCCATCGCAGGTTGGCGTCTACAAGAATTCGAAAAAAAAAACTAGTCTTTCAAGTGACGTCCAAAATGAAGAACAAATTGTATATGATAGGTAATTAATAAGATTTTTCCAATGTTAGGTTGATTCGTTTGCTTTCAGTATTTTTATTTCTATAGCAGAAAAGCCTTAGGGTTTTTCTCGTAAGCGTTTTCTTGTTAATTGTACTCCGGCGAAAAGAGAATCCATCCTTTTGCGAATCCGACTAATTGCGAACAAATCCTAAAGAGGCATAAATATGAGTTACTCTCGCCACCTTACATTTTTTGGCCTGAACCAATGCCCGACCACGGGCAGGCCTAGAACTACAAAACATAGAAGGAGCTCTTTCCTAGAAGACCTCTTTCTCTGTGCCTTACTCACCATCAGAAATACATGACCTTTAGATATTATTTACGACTATATTAGGTAGATAGTAATAAGTTTTAAACATGTTTTTATCATATAAATAATGTGTAATATACCTAATATATATCTTTTTAGTTACCATTATTTTTCTGCACTTTATTTATTCCTTCCTTCCATCTTATATCTAGGTATTTTGAAAGAAGAAGGAACTTTTCATGCTATTTACATTTAATTGTTAATATTTGCATAAGCATGGCACTTACTTATTAATAGTATATTTCCTGATTTGATAAAGAGAGATTTGTTCATACATTTAAAGTGAGGTCACAGACTTCATCAAGAGATTGAGGTAGTTAAATAAATGCACCTAGCAATTTTTCGCGGTCACCAATAATTTTGATACAATACACAAAAAAAAACCTAACAAATATTTATATTTTAGACATTTACCTCAACGATATTGATTTACCTACATAATTCACGTTTTGAACTTACAATCACAAGGCTTTTCACCATTGAACCTAAGAGATTCATAACTCGTTTAGTAGTGTTTAATGCATATTATTATTATTAACTTTATTTACAGTGACTAATCTTACTTGGTGTGTATAAAATTGGTGTAGGAGCAAACATCGTGGGTGGTGTCACTGTTATCGGCGGGTGCGCTGCCTGGCTGCTACATAGGTCAGGTGTTGAGTGAGCAGGCAGGACGCAAGCGCACCTTCTTGATTTCTGCTGTACCGGGTGCCTTAGGTGCGGTACGTTTTGTTTTTGGTTTTTTAATTTTGTTGTGAGTGTTAAAAAAACTGGATATGGCATGGTTGACGGTTAACGGTGACCTCTACACAAAACGGTTATCATATTGACTATACACATTCGGTTATGGGTTTATTTGATTAGGAGATATTCTGCTCAAGAGTACTGTTTGCGTTTGCGAGTGACGCCTCCCCCTTACTGTGTGCTCATTCCTAGATGAGTGAAAATTAAGCTTATAGGTGAAAAGATGGCAATGCCCAACTTATGTGTTTGCAATAATTCTGGACATATGAGGATTACATTGTTTACAATTAGGTAGTTTATGAATATCGGCCGAATACAAACTCGTGCTTTTGCCTACCTTGCTTTGTAATCCGTAATGGATGATTAAAAGCAGTATCACTACCAGAGGCGGCGTAAGGCGTGGGCCACCGCCTACGGCCTCGCGGTACAAGGGGCCTCGCGCCTCAAAAATGTTCATGCATTGCTTAAAAGCGAATTTCTTTTTTTTTATTATTTTATAAAATCTGTCTTCAGGTCGCCACAGAACAGGGCCTCGCGAAATCTGTCTTGCCCACATCAAATTTAGGTCTTGCCCCGCCACTGATCACTATGTATCTGATTCTAGCATGATTTTCTAAACATAAACAACACGAATTAACCCAAACGCAGACTAGACGCGCGCCCTGTAAAGCAAAATCGGCTCAAGATCAAAAAATTCTATATTTTCTAATTCATAGTTTATAATTATTCAGATCTGTTGCCTGATTTACTCGCCAAGACTCAATGCTTTGCCTCCGTTTGCAGTCAGCTCTATAACTAGAAGGAATATTCATATAGGTACCTAACTACTTACTTGTCTTTTATTATATTTGCAGAGTATAATATTGTTCACAAAAACTCCATTGCTAATGTGCATTGCCAGATTTTTGATAGGAATAACTACAGGATCTGTGGCTGTGGTAAGTACATGTTACATTAGTCAAGTACAGCTGCTGTTTGTACTGGATTTGATAGGATTATAATAATTTCAGGTAACAATGATATATATAACAGAAATAGCGGACAAGGAGATAAGAGGTGCCCTTGGTATGACGGTACAAGTGATGAATAATCTGGGAGGGCTTCTGATATACGGGATAGGGCCGTTCGTGTCCTACACTGTACTAAACTCCATTATTGTCATTATACCAGTGGTGTTCGCATTACTCTGCCTTTGGTTACCCGAGTCTCCGTACTATCATTTGAAGGACGGCCGAGTACAAGCCGCTAGGAAAGAGTTCATCTTTATAAAAGGACGTAAAGATGACAAGGTATTTCACGTGTACGTAATTAACATACTATAAAACTGAAACGAACTGCACTAACTGAACTGAAACTAGAAACTGATTCGGCATAATCCTTTTGAACTATTTTAAGCTCTTTTTTTGTATTCCCATTCAAGTAATAGCGTCAATGCAAAAAAAAATCGTATATGCACTTGCAGACACATCTATCGGCCCATGTTTAAAGTTTCAGCGATCTGTAGCATAAATATCTCGCCAATTTCGAGATCTCGCGAGATTGGTAGTTTTGTGTTTTTTGCAAATAATCACTATATTTGAATAAATAGGAAAAACATAATAAAAATTTGATTATAAGAGAAACGTTTATTTATTTTTCACGATTTTTTTCAATTGACTTTTATGCATCAAACATTGTTTGACGTATCTGTCTATAATCTATACTATAACTAGCAAACCCCGCGAACTCCGTTTCGCCACCAGATGGCTTCGTTTTATGTAACATTTTGTTTGGTGATTAAAAGAAGTTTTTTTTTAATTTTTCCTGAATTTTCTTTGCTATAAACCTCACGGAGCCCGAGACCTTTCCAACGAATGCAAAATCGTGGAAATCGGTTCGTGCGTTCTGGAGTTATAGCGTCAGGAAGGAAAACCCGACTTATTTTTATATAGTAGATATTATAAAGCTGCAGAGTTCGTTTGTTTGAACGCGCTAATCTCTGGAACTACTGGTCCGATTTGAATGATTCTTTCAGTGTTGGGTAGTCCATTTATCGAGGATAGGCTATATTATTTTTCAAAATTAGGGATCCGTAATAAAATCGCTATTTTGTAACACAAGGTGTAAAATCGAAAACCTATTTTTGCGTGCGCTGCAAAAACTATTGAAACGCGGCTTGAACAAAATGATGTACTACGGGTTTGTAGATCCCATTAAGACCTACAAAAAAGTCCGCGAGAACATATATCTAGCTATCATGGTTTAATCACAATAAGCGATTTTGTGTTCAAAATAATTATTAAATCGTCTGAAGAAAAAAAAAACTACGTTAAATATGTATCGTAATATTAATCTTTATCGAAATTAAGCATTATGTTATCAAGAGTATTTATGCAGAAGTAAAATACTTTTTGTTTCCTCTCAATCGGATATTTCGTTTAAAAGTTATCACGTGTGTAAGATGTTAAGAGTTGGTACCAATTAATGAGTTATGGGCCATAGAGTTTTTTATCAACATAAAATCCTGTAATAATCTTTTTCGAAATATATTTGTTTATGATTGTAAACGCGGGTGAAACCGCGGGGCACGGGTAGTTTATTAATAAACTTCTAAGTAGTAAACTTTGCCGTACGTATTTACCAAATCCAAAATAATTCATAAGTTACTGCCGGGGGACAAGGCCCAGAGTTTTGCAAATGCAATGCCCAACATTGCAAAACTGTGGGCCTTGTCGCCCGGTAGTACCTTATAATAATAGCCTAAGAGAATATTAGGCGCAAATGTGCGAAAATGAAGATATCATCACTTATTACGCATATTCCATACACTTTTTCCGAAATCTGTTTATAATTATAAACTTGAAAGTTTATTATATCAAGCATATACTAGGTATTCTCAATAGTTTCCAAGCAAAAAGGCGGTAATTTCAAAAATAATTTGAATGTCTATGAAACGCGATTTTCAGCCCACTGTGGGCCACCCCGCGCCGAACGAAACCGACAGATCGCAACTCTGTCCGTGTTTGCGAAGCGCGGACTGCGCTTCAAATAAGACGTTTTTATGCTCGAGTGCAATCTCGTTAAACTCGCGAGTTCTCGCCCTTTTTTCGTCCGAGATCAATCTCCCTAAAAAGGCCGAGAACGAGATTACATTACTTAGGTGCAACTATAAAGTATCTTATATGGTGCAAGGACAACAAGGAGCTACTTTTGGTCCCGATATGTTTATAATTTATTATTTTTATGTTTTTTAATTCAGTGTATTGTATCATTTTGTGTATACTTTAGTGGGTAGACGAGCAGTTGGGAATAATGAATGCTCACGTAAAAGAGAGCATGGAGGATAAGACAACGGCCAGGGAATTGTTCACAAATATGAAGTACAGAAATTGTTTGTATATTGTTGGCGGTAAGATTTCGATTTGTTATTATGAAATAGAAGTCATAAAAATATATAAACGAAAATAGCTTACAGTACAAGCTTTTCTCATCATCATCATAATCAGCCTATTAATATCCCCTATGCATAAATGCACAAGCCCTTCCAATTAATAGGATAAGGAGAATGAGGTGGGTGCTAACAACTGCAGATGAGCTGGGACCAGCGTTGCCAGTTTTTTTTTGCCAAGTCGAGATTTAGGATCTTTTTGTGTGAAAAAAGCGGGATTCTTTCGTGGAAATCGGGACATATAAAAAAATCGTATATACCTAATCAAAAGTTTTTGAATACCGTAAGTGAGGGTTGTTACTTTAGCTCGGGCGGGTAACTTTGTCCCAAATCAGAAAAAAATATTGAACTTGCCGCCCCATCGGTATCTCTTGTAATGTGACCATAATAGTTCCAGTTGAAAATCACAGATAGCCATATAGGCGCGTAGTGTGGTGTTGTTTTACCGACATCGTTCCTGTATCAAGTTGTCATTGTAACGCGGGATTTTTTGTAACTGAAATAGTGCGCAAGTTCATGCGCAAACTTTCCCAAAACTGTGGTTTTCGGTAAGTTTACAATTTTTTCTTTAACTTAATTATTTTTGGGTAAAAACATCCATTTGTGTATACAGTATGCTAATGGTGATCTGTTATAAGGGTTACTTAACCCCAACATGGCTTAAAATGAGATTTTTTACAGAGAAAACTCAACGAGCTAAAGTAACCCTCTTTAAGGCCAACTTTAGCCCAAAATTTAAAAAATATTTATGAACCCTTAAATATTATTTTTTCCTATTTTCGTATGATAACTTTGTAACTTATACTTTAAAGTTCACAATGGAAAGATATAAACGTGACATATTCATCACAAAGAGAAGCTACAATTTTATTTGAAAAAAAAAGTGCACATTTTAGGTCAAAGTAACTCGCAGTTACTCGGTATATATCTTTTTGAGTTCAAATTAGGTTTACGTGACAATAGATAGGTACCTAGCAAAAATATCCATTGAAAACGTATTTAAAAAAAATGATATTTTATATCAGACTTATCCTATCGTTAAATTGTTGAGTCTTTGTTTGAGAGTTCTTCATTATGCGCCAGGCGGCCAGTCCACACTTGACTGTGCCACCCGCCCGCGCTTTCTCAGTACGTTGCACGCACGGTCGAGTTATTCCCGAAAAGCGGGATTGAGCCTATCCCGCGCGGGACATTTAATTTTGATTAAAAAATCGGGACGTCTGGCAACGCTGGCTGGGACCAAACGGCCCTTCCGAGTCAAGGAGGAGCTTGATGTAGACTAGATTTATGATGTAATTTTTGGTTATGTGTGACCGTGCCGTGACGCGTGCAACTTTCGAAATGACCGATCACAGGATGTGTCCTATGATCGGTCATTTAGAAAGTTGCACGCCTAGTTGTTTCAAATTAAATCAATCAATTCATACAATAAGATTATAACCACATCTTTTTATGTAAAAAAGGTGGCAAACAAGCATATTGACGATTAACGTTGCTTACCTTGACTTTTTGCCTAGACTTTGAGTGTTTATCGTACAGCCAACCTTTGTTTTTTTATTTCCATGACACTTGTGCTTTAGTTTTTTTTATTATTTTGGAATAAGAACTCATAATATGATGCTATTGAATATTTACTATTCTATTTATTGCAGGATTAAAATTTCTGCAGTACATGACGGGAATTCTAGTAATCCAGTCTTACTTAGAGGAGATATTTAGGCAAAGCAGCTCTGTGTCGGGACCTCGGGCCAGCATCATTTATGGTTTCGTTCAATTAGGGGCTGGTAATACAATTCCTATATAAAATATTATAAATGCAAATTGTCTATTTCCTTTTGACACTTAAACAGCTGAATCGATTTAGATGAAATGGAGAAACAGTACCCTTAGCACTAACCATTATCGAATTCGAATAGTTTAGTTCGATCTATTTTATACGTCAAAATGTGTACCGATTTTTAGTTCTCGTTTGGTCGGTTTTGGCGCTGCTGTTCAAGTTTCCATACAAAATGTGACATTGACATTTCGCACTGGCAAACTATTCGAATTCAATATTGGTTCGTGCTAAGGGTACAGTACATAGTTGGTTTGAGTCCCGGGAAAGTTTTTATCCCAGAAATCATCCTTTGAGTGGGTATAAAGGGAAATAATTTTATGGGGAATCCGTGATCTATGCAGACGACTTCGCGGGTACCTGCTACTTAGTCAATAATAGCATAAGTTGCTTTAACTATCTAAAGTCTATTTACTTTGGCGGGAGACAAAATGTAAACAAAGAATCTGAGGTTCTAAAACTTTTATAATGTCAGATAGTACCCACTAGTCAATAATTACGTATATTTTTTGTTGCCTATAATGTATTCACAACTTTAAACTTAACAGAAAAGAGTAACAACAAACTCAACAAATAACAAGAATTTAATAAATATGATAGAATATGCACGCTCGCGTCAACAGGTTAATCGGGAGAGTAAAGATGGCTAACGTAAACCAACCGATTACAAAACACAACACTTCAACGTAAAATACTTATATCATATCTACCCTTAAATTCTGTCGTATTATAATACGTCCTAAGTTTGAGAATGATTGTGTTTTTAGGTCTTTTTCCATGTTCCAACTTAAGTTGTTAAAATACTTTATTAAATAAATAAATAAAATAAAAAATAAAAATAAAAAGCCTTTTATTTCTTGCATAGAAGGTAAAGAAAAATACAATAATTGTTTGAATATCATTGAATTGTGCTAATTATAATGTAATGTAATGATGTAGGTGCTTGTTATAATTAAATAGAATTTACATGCATGATGTGGTAAGTTACACTTGATATAAAAATAAATTTGAGATAATTATTAATTGGTTGTTAAAATATTTAAATTGATTAAAATAAATACAAATTAATTAAAATCATGCAAAATTATAAATTATTGAAATTATTTTACATTTACTTATTGGGATTTAATTTGCAAGAACCCCTCCACAGGTAAAGGCCTCCTCCAAAGAGTGCCATTTGTCACGGTTTTTTGCCAGTTCCATCCACTTGGGCCCGGCTAGTTTTATTATCTCGTCTTCCCATCGTGCCACGGGTCTGCCTCTTCTACGTTTACCGTACGGTCCCTTCCATTCTGTTATTTTTGAGGTCCACCTTTCGTCTTGAAGTCTAGCAATGTGGCCGGCCCATTTCCATTTTAATTTTTGAGCGTGGTGTAAGGCGTTAGTCGATTTTGTAATGGCACTTATTTTTGAGTGGTTCACTTTCTGAATTTTCTTTATGTTCAACATACTGCGTTCCATTGCTCTTTGACAGCTTACTATTTTTCTTTTTACTTTAGATGTAAATTTCCAAGTTTGGCACGCATATGTTAAACATGGGAGAAGACACGACTGCATTACCTTGGTTTTTGTATTGACTTGCATGTTGCTTTTAAAAATTTCTTTCATACTCCAGTACTTGCTCCATGTGCTTTGAATTCTTCTTTCTATTTCTAGGTCGTTATTATTCCTGTTAAATCCTATTTGCTTGCCAAGGTACACATATTGTTGTGCATAATTAAGAGACTTATTATCCACAAAAATCTGTTTCCTTGTACTATTAGTCATAAGCATTGTTTTAGCAATGTTATACTTTATTAGCAAAATAAAAATATAAGAATTCATGATGAGTATGTACGTTAAATATGTGTGAATTTTATTTTCTTATTCCAGTACCAGCTATTAAAATAAATAACATAATGTTTCCCTGCATTTCCTATGTAAATAGTATTTAATCTTTACTTTTGTCAAACGTGACCTTTAAAAGTATCATTTTTATGGTTTTGTTTACATTTTGTCTCACACCAATGGGAATAGACTATAGTCTAAAGTTTGTAATATGAAGATTACAGTTTTTTTTAAAACACTTCCAGACACATCTATCAGCCTACCCAGCTTTACAAGCTTCAATGGTATGTAGCAAAAATATTTGTTAGGTAATAATATATATTAAAAACACACATAGTAAATGGTTTACAAATCAGCTTCAAAACTGAGTAAAAACTTTTTGACACGTAGGTACCTAACATTTATTTTTAGCTATGGACCGTCAAAACTTAAAAACGCTCGGTGGGCCGATAAATGTGTCCGGAAGTATATTGTCGCATGAATTATTTCGTCTGTCGGTGAACGTAATGATTCTTGTGATATTTGGGAACATAAGTGGTTGTAACGAATTTATCTAATCTTTTGTAAATTTGACTATTTGTTTAACAATGATTGCTTATCTTTGTCTGCGAGTGACAATGTATTTTGTACAAAGTTGTCATATAACGCTCGATACATTTTCATGGGAACTTAGTGTTTATTTTTACAGGGATAGGGGCGACATTTCTTAGCCGATGGTGCCGAAGAAGATTACTCCTACTGGTGTCTTGTGTAGGGGTGTCAATCGCGATGACTGTAGTCGGAACATACTTTTACCTACAAGACGTGGTAAAAGTAACTCCCGAAGTATTACAATCGATTTCCATGCTGCCCCTGGTAGGTTTGATGTTGTTCAACGTCTTATACGCTTTAGGTGTAGGCAACTTACCATACGTTCTACAAGCAGAACTATTTCCAGTTAATGTGAAATCGGTGGCGTCCAGTATTGCTACTCAGTTCGCTTGCGTACTCAGTTTCTTGGTAACAAAGTTTTACCTGAGTTTCAGAAATGTGTTCGGACACCATTCAGTGTTCTGGGGTTTCGCGTGTATAGGATATGCGGGTGTTATTTTCATATACTTTTTTGTGCCAGAGACGGGAAATAAGACACTAGAAGAGGTGCAGGATAACCTCAAGGTAGACCCTCTAGAAGCTGAGTCATTGAGTGATTGTATCGCACATGAAGACACTACGATTTCTAAATTATGATATGCGAAATCATATTAATAATCTGATTAGGCTGTTTATAAACGGTTAGGATAGAGTTATAAGTTATAAGAATGTAAAACGATTTTTATTAAGAAAAAATACGAAAATATAAGTTACAGCACAAAAAATAATTTCTTACGAGGACTCGACGTATAGTTAAATCAGGTTAAAAGTTAATAAAAAAAAGGAGAGGTTCTTATTAGTTCATGTATTTTTGTTTGAGTGGAAATAACTGGATATTCATAATGCCAAAAAGCAGTATTCACAATGTTGTGCCATATTTTTTTGTACATAATTATGAACAAAAGTTTTACTGGACCCTATTATGAAACTGTAAATAGGTATGAACAGTATAAGTAGTATAATAATATATTTTTGAACAGAACAATGTAATTTGAAAAAAAGTACCTTATTACTCATTGTTATAAAATAATTATTTGTTATTACCTATTTTGTAAAAAGTTATTGTGTTTGAGTAAAGAGATGATGTGGATAACTTATTTTTTTTACTTATGTGAAATGCAAAATGTATTATTATTAACGTATCGAAAGCACGAGCGCTTTTCTTACGCTAGTAAGGTCCTACGTTAAGGTAACACTTTAACAACACTCTCGACTTGTATTTTCAACTTTACGACTAAAGCTTAAAAAGTTAAAAAGACATACAAGTGCGAATAAAAAAATACGAAATTATATCTCTTAAAAAACGCGAGATAAAAGAGCTCGTGCGAACTATCATTTCGAATTTGTTATAACACAAAGAATCACAATTCAAAAGAAAAACCAAAATGTGACAATAAAATTTTATTCTGCTGAATAAAAATATTGAATACATAAAACGATTATTTATTGTGTTTAATTTACGGAGACGCTTACGCTACCTGTATCTATTTATACAAACACTGCTTCGCGAAATTCACCTGTACCAAATTAGGCTATGTATGGGAGATTAGTCACAATATCATATGGTTTAAAAGCTAAATTCTCTTGGCGTTTCCGTAAGAGTACAGTGGTGCGAATGGCGTGTCAGCGGGTTCGTCTCCGCTCTCCTCCGATGCGTCTGATTCGAAAGTGTTGTCCGGTATATCGTACAGACGAATCAACGGCTTGTTGGGATCCTTCATGATCAGATATTTGCCTGTAACGATGGAATAACATCCATTGCAGCTTTTTTGTCATGAAATGTTGGACATAGTCAAACTAACATATATATATATGCTATGTATAGGAGATATATATATTTAACTCTTTATAAGGAGCATGTTTGATTTAAAAAAGGTAAAAAGGCAACAAACATTTACTTCCAGCTGATTGTGAGCGACAATCTTAAAATATCGTTAGTGTAGCGTAGCTCATAGAGTATGGGATTAGAGATGGCAATGCAAGGACCGGACAAGCAAGGAATAGAAAAAATAAAAACTGATGTAAAATAATGGTGAGTGTGTGTGTGAATGAGAGTGAGTGAGTGTTTTATTTCTCGCTGCGAAAAGTCACGAAAGTTTCACTAAAACAGCTCTAATACAAACAAAATAAAAAAAAATAAGAAACTTTTTATCCACTTCGTGGTCGCGAATATTTTAAAATTATAAAGGTTGCTTTGGTGTTGGCGTATTCACAGACCTAACAATAAATAAATGTCTCTATACTGTGAATGTAGCTTGGTGCCTGCTGAAATGGCTCAATTGATACGTGTTTTAATGTTCACTGATCCGTGTTCTGAACGGATTTTGACTTATCCTTATGATAGCGCAATATAACGAAACGTGTGTGAATCCCGTGATCTGAACAGACACTTAGGGTCATTAAAAAAAGTAGCAGAGTTTTTGGTGGGATTTCATCGAGTGCGGTTGGCGTCTTATTTAAATTATTCTTAAATTCGTTCATAGTGGATATTGTGAAACAAATTGGTGTGATTTTGTGTTACAACCGTCTGCTCAAATGAAGAATTAGTGTAATCTTTAAAATATACTCTATTCCGGTCAAGTGGACGTGAGAACTTTATTCTAGTGTTGACTACTTCATAGAAGCTTATAGAAAAACTCTATACATTTCGTGCCAAACACTCCAAGAAACATTAGAATGCGTCACACCGACACTCTAATGTAAAAAGAAAAAGGAGATTAATATAACTAAAGACTAGGCTGTATGGGCATTGTTCCCTTTGCCTTTCCTAAATCTGAATCGGGAAAATCTTAAAAAAAGTGTCTACCATCAGCCACTTTAGCAGTTTTGGTAAAAATTGTGTTGTGGCGGATGTTAGTGTCTAATAATGGTGGATTATTCACCACTAAATGTTGGGGAACATGCACAAGTGTTGGCAAGTTAAACTAAATAGCGGAAAGTGTCTTTCGACGTTCGCTCAAGAAATCTACGGGGAGGTTCCAGTAAATCCCCACACTTTTACTGAAACATAGGGAAAGGGGTATTGACTTGACGGCCACTTACTTTGACTTGATTTATTACTTTGACCCACGAGTGCGATAGTATTTGTAAACATTCTAACATTTGGCATTGGCAAAATGCACAAGCCGTGCGAAGCCTTTTAGAAAAAAAAAGTGGATGTCGCGCGCTTCAGCTACCCTTGTAGCCGCTTCTAGCTTCTCGTGGCGGCGTTTGTGGCTGTCGCTTGTGGGGTGATACTTAAGGTAGTGGTACCAATGATCGACTGAAGCTAGTGATCAACATTTTTTTCTGTGATCAATAAGAGCCACCCAGGCCGGCCGCTAAATGTGATAACACCGAGCTATAGAGGCTCGATGTTACTGTGATTAGCGATCGGTTGCTTACTCTTATTTTCATTGATCACGATAGGGAATGTCGATCATTGGTGCCATTACCTTAGTGTTCTTATGTTTCTGTTTACTGTGCCTGAATACGAGTTGCGTGATAGGTAAATGTAATCGCTCACCATCCTTCTGCTTCATGCATATATCGATGATGCACCGCAGGATGCCCCACGCGTTGTCCATGGAGAGGTTGATTTGAGCTGCGAACTCGTGAGGCTTGAACTGCTGCGTACCGAGGATCACGTGACGCGAGTTATCGCGGACCTGGGCGCGGGATACGTAGCCGAACTTGACCTGATCCGAGCCGGCTAGCAAGGCCTGAGGAACAATGCGTTATGGTTTAACATGGCATCAAACTCTATGTGCGGCCAGAACTGCTGCGTGCCGAGGATCACATGATTCGAGTTATCGCGGGATACGTAGCCGAACTTGACCTAATCCGAGCGGGCTAGCAAGGCCTGAGGAACAATGAGTTATGGTTAAATGCAGCTTATATAATCAGGACGTAAACTGCTGCCAAGGATTTGATATAATCTGACCCGGCTAGTTAGGCCTGAGGAATGTAATGTGGTCAGATCCGCTGCGTACCGAGGATCACGTGACGCCAGTTATCGCGGGATACATAGGCCGACTTGACCTGATCCGAGCCAGCTAGCAAGGCCTGAGGAACAATGAAATCACCAGAATTTTTGTCCCAATTATGAATGGAATCGAGTGTGTATGCCCCAACACGCAGGCCCAGTGTAAATTAGTGGATGCTAACAACTTCAGATACAGCCTGGCCCCTTGATCTAATCCGACCAGGCTAACAGGGCCTAAAGAACAATGTATGATGGTTTAAATTGCTGCGTGCTGAGAATCACGCGTTGGAAACATGATCCGATTTATTTAAATGAAAAAAGAAAAACAATGTGTTCTGGTCAAGTTATCTGGACTGTGATATTATGCCCAGAATCACGTGATGTGACTGATTTATTCTAAACTGGTTATCAAAGTTTCTAAGCTTTAAGTTCTTTACCCAAACAGTCAGGACTTAAGTTCTTCTCCACAGCTAATAGAAATCACAAACTGATTGTAAGAAAAAAAAATTGGAAAAATAATTAGTTATTGTACTTCCAATAAAACATTAAATTAGTAGACATTAAAATACACAAACCTGGACAGTCCACTTGGCCAGCTTGCACGAATTGTTCCTCAACTCATTGGCTAGCACAGCACCGCGTTGAGTGTCCAGCTTTTGTCTCCACTCCACTCCATTGGCAAGCTTCGAGTCCCATTCGTTCAAAGCCTTGATTGATAAGAACTGGGTCTCGCCTTGAGGTCCTTGCATTACTGCATCGTGTTCACAACGGGCTACTAGTACCTGAACAAACATAAATAAATATTTGTAACACACCAATAGGGTATTTGACAAGTTTTAGTAAAACAATCTCACGTTATTGACTAATGTTTATGAAGTCCGTAAAAAGTGGATATTCATCATTATGTTGTGTATTTCAGTAAAAATAACCAAATCAAAAACTCCATCTTCAAGTTGCCATGAAAACGTTTCTCTGGACAATATGGCGTCTTACTAGTGTGTGACGTCAGACGAATGTCATTAAAACGTCAAACGATACAAGGTAATGTCACTTTAACCGAAAGTTTACTCACGCGTGACGTCATTTTAGGCTCCGTCAATCCCAAGCGTTTTGGGTCACGTGACAATAGATAAGAAAACTATTATCTTTTTCGTGGGTTTTTAATAAAATTATGAATATTTTTTTTGTAAAAATAGTGAAAACCCCTGCCAATATTCATTATAAACCCATATGCAAAACCCAAATGTTAGCATGGCTAACAATTGGCGCTTTCAAATACCCTATTAGCCTAGCCCTAAAGTAAGCACTGTAAAGCTGGTGGGATACTATGGTTACAAGTAGAGATTTGTATATTTTTAGAAATATTCATATCTTTGTATCATTAATTATACATATTTCTATTCTATTACATAAACGACTGTGATTTATGGCTCGATTGTACTTGGTCATTAGCTCATATTTGGATGCATGATAGACATTACTCAAATTTGGGCACCCAAAGCAATAGTTACACTGGAATACAGGCTGGAAGAGTTTCAGATAAACAAAAGGAAAAATTACCTAAATACAGGTGTACTCGACTCTGTTCATTTACACTTAGTTGTTTACCCGAATTCCATTGGCCCTCGTATTCGGGCAAAAGACTAAATGTAATCGCACCGTTAGGTTCAAATGCGTGCTTATCAACTATTTGCTTCACAGATTAAGGACCTTTTAGCAGGCGTTTAAAAACCTGTGTATATTACTCTCTCATGGAGGTCCCCAATGTAATGTACTAAGAGTAAGGTACTGTATTTTGTATTAGCTACTTATTTTTCACTCCTTCCTTCAAGACAAGAAGAGAGCTACCGACATCAGAAAATGCACAAAAATTGAGGATGTCATTCAAAAAAGTAGACAACTCAAATGGCTGAGGTTAGCAAGGGATAGATCGGGGTGGAAAAGGCTGGAGGAGGCCTATGTGTCTGCAGGACACGCTGAATTATAAGTAAAGGTTAATGATGTGTTATTTATGTAATTATCAGCAATAAAGGCATTTGTATTGTATACTTATTTTTCAAGTTCATAGATTATTTGATAAACACTTTTAAATAGGTGTGAAGTGTGTTTATCTCTCCATCAGGAGAAGATCTAGCAACAACGCAAAGAATCTGGCAAAGTAACATATTTAAGGAAATACACATTCTGTAAAAATAATTAACTGTACTTCTTCATACAGTTCACCGACAAACAGACAATAGATAGTGGCTGCTTACTCATAAAAAGGGTTCCATCGTCATTCTTTGGGTAAATAAGTCTTAGTTCCATATTAATAGATTGTTTTCAACTCTTGCTATTTTGTATGAAAACAGTATCGAATGTAATTTCAGAGTTCAGAGTGATTCATTAATACAGGCCTAAATCTATGATATCATACTTACAACACCATTATTAAGGTTCCATTTACGATAACGGTAACCAACAGACGCGACCTCGCCTTCCTCTTCCTCTGACACAAAAGGATTCGCCTCAGGGAATTTGTATTTGGGTTCCTTTTCTCCCGACTTCAACACCTTAAAAAAGGAAATTAGAAATATAGCAATAAAAATTATGGTTTCATATATTTGTGTAACAAATCATTTTAATATTTTAAAATATGCAGGGATCCAAATAAAATACACTTGAGAGCTAAAAAAGGATTTCAGCTGGGTGGCTTTTTTAAATAATTTAAAATATAACAGCTACATTAAGATCAATAATGTAGGGTCATTGAATGACCCTATATATGTTATCCCATATTTACTTGCCTGGTGTGTTAAATATACCTTGAAAATCAAAATATCAAATTCAGGGCTAGCCCATGTGTGTTTACCAAAGTTGTTCCTAAATAGCAACACATCTTGTTTTGCTTTAACAATTTCCTGTACTCCACTGTCTGCTGATTTATAGGCTTTGACTGTGTAAGAATAAACATAGCAGCTGACAAGTTCCATATCATTTTTTACGTCTAAAGTTCAATATTGAGACATAATTTATAAATTCAAAATTATTTATTTAGTTTAGGCTTTTAACAAGAAGCACTTATTAATGTCTAGCTAAAAACTATGTCATCGATTCGTAATCTACTCCGTACTGAGAAGAACCAACAAGGAACTCATCAGCCATCAAGAAGAAAAATGACTTAAGAGATGACCTCAGACCAAATAAAAAGTATAGACGGAGTCTGCCGAACCAAAAAGTGAAGCCGATAAAACTACGCCGCGGCGTGTACATACACAGTTACACGCACACACATGCAACGAAACTACGCCTTGGCTTCTCAGTCGAGCTATCCCGACGCGCGGAGTGTGACGTAATAATAAATAACAATATTTATTAGAAAAAATGCCGAATTATGTAGTGAAAACGTGTAAAAACCAATCTTCCAAGAATAAAAAACAGGATGGAATCACATTTCATACGTAAGTAAAGTTATAAACTGCTATTTTCAATTAATCAAAATCAAATTTGAGGTTGTCGCTTTGTAAACAAAACTTGAACGAAATGTTGCCATGATTATTCGTTACAGTTTTACCCTTTTGTTGGGTAACGTGAAATATAACGTAATGTTATTTTAATATATACATTGTGTGGCATACTTTTATATTATTCGAATATTGTAATGCATGGATAAACAATTACACGATACATCTTTTTTCTTTATGTATTCGTATAAATTTTTTGGGATGTAATACACATTATTTAATATACGTTCTTTTTAAGATTTCCTAATCGAGATCAAGATCTAAAAGAGAAGTGGATTGCAGTCATTCGTAAGAGTAGAAATGCACCATTGTGGCAACCAGCTTCCCGCAGCGTGGTTTGTTCGACTCATTTTCAGAGCGACGATTTGTAAAATAATAATATATTTGTAATTTTATTTGTATTGTACTTTTTAATGGCCTTTTTGACCCAAAATTCGCGATGTTTGTGGATTTTTTTTATTATGTTCTTGTATAGGAACTAGTGATTATATTTTGTGTATTCTATAGAAAATTTCATGTACATTTTAATAAAAGAAACTATTTATCAACGTTTGTATATGCTTTTCGTTTTATCGACATAAAGTTGAGATGACTGATTTGTAAGCGATTTCAAGTGCCTTGTTGCGAGTGCTTGAAACTATAAAATGAACAAACCTATTCCATCCGAGACTTGTAACTAAAGTAAAATAATCAATCCAACATAATTAAACGTCAACACATAAATCAAGGCACTTGGATCTCGCATTTGTTTTTATCAACACTTGCAACACGACCCTTTTTTTTCTGTTGCGTGTTATATTTTATAATTGTATTTGGTAAGTTATTATATACATTCATTCATATATAGTACATTCTATATGTACAAAAACCTGGATTTATAATTTACAAATTTTGAAAATACACCTCATTTTACCTATTTAAACGACTTTTTTTTATCTTTCCTGAGTTTACCATAATGTAATTAAAATAAATTATAGACATGACGCATTGTGTACACACTGTTTTATTGAAAATTTTATGAAGAATCCAAATATACGTTTGTGAAGGGTATTTTTACAAAATAACAGAGAAATCGGCAGAACAATGCAATCGTTCCCACCCAGCGGGCGGGCGGTCCATAAAGAAGTCCGGCACTTGTAGGTGAGAACGGCGCATGACCTTTGGCTCACGAGAGGTTTAGAGAATAAGCTTACGATATTTTTTTCTAATATTTTATAACGTTATTAATAACGTTATTAAAAATGTAAAAACGTTATGAAATAACGTTATTACATTTTTCTCATATTGGGGTGTTTTATATGACTATGGTAACACTGGCTAATGCACTACATACATAAAAAACCGGCTTCACTTTTTGGTTCGGCAGACTCCGTCTTTACTTTTTATTTGGTCTGAGGAGATGACTGATTCAGTCACCTTTCATTAGCATGCATTTAAAGACTAAAAATTATATAACATTCATACTTGCTGGCTAAAGTTGTGATTGATGAATGTAGCCTCCAAAGCTAAGTTGCGTGGTGAATTGATTGAATTGCCATCATCAGCAGGGGGCTCCACTGAAGTCTCGTTCACAGTAAGCAAGTCGAATTCGGTATTGTCACGCTTGTCCAAGAACAATTTGTCACCTAATCAACAGAATGGACAATACTTGTAAATATTTGCTAACTAGTGGCTGACCGGACTTCGCCTGCATTAACTTGGTAGGTTATGTTCATATTGGTAGAATATGTTTTTTGAAAATCCTTCAGGAAACACTTTTCCAGGATAAAAGTATCCTAAAGAAAATATAACTAGAAAAAATTCAACGCGGATCAGGCAGCAGACGGGGCTTGAACCCGCACCCTTCGCAATCCGGGTGAATGCACTGACCAATTATGCTATAGCGGCCCTCACGGACAGCGTCGAAATTCTTCTAGCCATTCTTTCTAGTTATATTTTCTTTAGATTTAAACATCAAGCAGTTACATGCTTTAAAATAATAGAAATTATAACTAAAAGTATCCTGTCTTAATCCATGTCATAAACTATATATGTACCAAAGTTCATCCATGTGTTAATAGGTTTAGGGGTGAAAGCATGACAAACAAGAGTCACTTCCACATTTATAATATAGTTAAGAAACATTACATTACATTGAATGCTAATGAGTATGCAGGGCTGATCCTATAAAAAAATGTGTGGGTTAAAATTGTATCACTATGTATGCTCAAATTTAGAATTATTCAACAACAACAAGCAAGAAAGGAGTTCCTTTCCTGAGATTGAGTTTTCTATGCATGCAAAACTATGTTGTTTTTTGTATGATATTGTGGTAACTCAAATAGCATACCAATCTTTTCAATGACAATATCCCAGGAATAGTTAGAGCGAGTGCAGCACATGATGGTAGCCAAGATAGTATCAGTGGCATACACTGTGCCAGTTGTCTTACTCAGACGACGAATGACTGGGTCATCAGTTGTGGTCACCTGAAGATTACAATGTTAATAATTACTTATATCCCCAATAAACAGTAAAAAATAATGGAAATTTTGGCTTAGTCTTTGTACAATTATTTGTTGACTAGAATTAGATTCTATCTTACCGTATGGAAAATACGATCAATACGCTGTAAAGGTTTCTCATGTTTAACATTTACACGATCATAGGCTTTGTCATAGTACTCAAGAGTACCACAGCAAACAATGTCTTCACCTGTAAGAAACAGTTTAGGTGAGATGTAAAGTTACATTCTTTATTTTAACTTGAGAATTTACTTGAATTATTGTCAATACCTTCTTTTATACCCGGCAAAGATAGCTTAGCCAACCGAGGAAAGTCCATGTCCTCAATAGTGACCCATGTGGGTCTTACGGTAACTGATGCATCCCTGATTTTCATAGGTGCACCTCTCTGGCCCCATCTCTTTCCAAGTTTACGATCTCGTTGCTGCAAAGGTAACCAGAAAAATAATTTTAATCTGTGTTTAAACTTTAAAGAAATATATTTAGACTTATGCATATATTGATAATAGTGCACAAAGATATTTTTTTTTTTTTTTTTACGATAAATAGGCTTACGCTTGACGGCCACGCAACTGATGGAAAGCGACGTAGCAGCCTAAGGTGGGACGCGCTTGCCTAGAAGAAACCGATTGACTCGCGACTTGAAGAGCCCCAGATTATAGGTGACTGGAAACAGAGATTCCGGCAAAGTGTTCCACAACCTAGCTGTTCTAACTATATAGGTGGAAGCAAACCGTTTAGTACGAGTTTGTGGGACCTCTACGGTATATCTGTGGCGTTTTGCCGTCTCTCTGGTGGTTCTGTGGTAAAAAGGTGAAGGTGGAATTAAGTTATGTAACTCCGAAGCACACTCTCCGAAATGTAACCGGTAAAAAACCGATAAAGAGGCAACTTTTCGCCTGTGTTCAAGACTTATTATTAATACACAAGTGTTGTATTGGTACTAAATTAGCCAGAGTGCATTATTTACTCACTTTAGCAAGGTACATAACCTGCTGTTCTTTAAACTACCAATCTACCTACAGTGATAAAATATATCTACACCAAGTAAAAAATCAAATGAATTACAAAAATATTTAGTTTTCAAAGTCATTGATACATGGAATTACTGAAAAGAAAACTAGATTTCTTACTTTTGTCAACAGTTTAGCAATTTTATGAGGATATACCTATAAGCATGGCATGGAGTTTTTTGCTTTATTCTCGGATCAAGCTTAACAAAAAAATGCCAAACTTTCAATGGTGGTAATAAATGTTTTGTTGACACATCAAAACAAATCCTACTAATATTAAAAATAATGCGAAAGAAATCGCGGGCGGCCACTACTATCATAATAACACTATATTGTACCTTGTTCAGAGTAGTCATGCCACCCGGTGTCCTAGCACCTCTAGCACCCCTGCCGCGCTGACCACGGGCACGGCCGCGCTGGTACGGTGGCTTCTGCACGCGAGTCGTGTCCACCAAGTGGAATGTGCTCTCATCCTCGTCATGGAAGTACGCGTAGGACGATCCAGCGCCGAATTGAGAAGCATATTTATCTAAATTAAGACATACTTAAGTATTAACATAATGTTTATCTTCTTTTATTAAATATAAAAAAATATTAGTTTTACAGTACTGTAAACTTGGCCTAGTCAAAGAAAATTGCAGTAATTGTAATGCAGGTAAGCAAACGTAACGTCACCATAACCTCAAAATAAATCGAAGTAAATAGTTTGCACTGATACTCATAAAAGGTAGAAATGTTCTAATAACTTACTTTGATACTTTTTATCCTGTACCACAGTCCAATCACTGATTTTTCCTAAACGATCACCCTTACTGAATGGTTGGTACGGCATGTCTCGAAACTGTTCCGGCATTTCTGCAGGGCCCCATCCTGTTGGGTTATCCTGTATTATAGGGGCTATAAATCGAATCGGCTCTTCAGCTGGTAGAATATGCTCTGACATTATGAAATCACTAATATTTAGTGATAAATTCTTTAGCAATATTCTACATCGGTTGCCACACGACACTTTCGAAAGGCCAGTAAGCCAGTGTTGCCAGTACCTGCGTCGTGTTTCGGACGATTCGGAATCTGAAAAGGGACGATTTTTAGACAAAAAGGACGGGCCTGCAGAAATATATTTATCTTACGTGTTGTGTTGTGACACGATCTGCTTCATACATTTAGTACGGTTAGAACTATATTTTGTGTGTCGCGATGTCTCGACAGCGTTCAGAAATCAATATATCTTTATTCAAATTGGATGTATAGTAGAACTCTTTTGAATCGTCCAAATTTTTTTTCCTACTACTCGTTATTGAACATATTTTTTAGCTGCGGAGAAAAACGAGCGAAAAAAACTCCACAACATTAAAAGTATAATGTAACAACATTTACAAATCATTATGTTGTTACAACGTCAATACAATCATGATTTCTTTAATATAGAAAACCTGTTGGAATGATTGGAACAGTTATTTATTTATTATTATTATTTATTTAAACTTTATTGCCACAATTACAAATTGGACAAAAGGCGGACTTAACGCTAAAAGCATTATCTGCCAGTCAACCTTCAGGAGTACAGAAAGTCACGAATGCGGCTTTAGTAAAAAAATAATTGATAATATAAACATACCATAATAGAAAATACTTATCTTATACATAATAATTAAATATATATAAGCACAAGACATATAAATATACACACACACAGATATATACACATACAATACACATATACATACGTACATATATATAAAATATATCGATGATGAGACTGAAAGGGACTTAGGAAATGAGTTTAACGTTAGTGTGGAAGGCTATCCAGAAGAAGTGCATGAATTTTCTTTTTAAAAATGAACCTATTAGGTGACTTTCTAATGGAGTCAGGGAGGCTGTTCCAGAGTCGTGAAGATTGAAGAGCAAAGGAATCAGACATATAGCCAGAGTGAAAGAGAGGTTGGGATAGAGCAAGAGTATCAGTAGAACGAAGTTGAAGGTTATGTGTATCACAAAGATACTGAAATTTGGATCTTAGATATTCTGGAGAGTGTGGGTCAAAGAGAATTGAATACAGAGTACATAATATTCTCTGCTGTCTTCTTTGACGTATAGGGAGCCATTTTAGTTGAGACCTGTAAGCAGATATGTGGTCAAATTTACGAAGACAGAAGATGAAGCGAATGGCATTATTTATAAGACGATCCAATTTATTTAAAAGATCAGCATTCAGATCGGGATAACAGACATCAGCATAATCAATGAGCGGAAATATAAGAGATGTTACAAGCAAAATTTTTGTTTTGATGGGGAGAAAATTCCTGAACCGATTCAAGAAACGAAGTGAGTAAACAATCTTGCGGCTCACTTCGGCAATTTGTGTGGTCCAGCTGAGAGAGGAATCAATATAAAGTCCAAGATTTTTTACACTTAAACTAAGCGGCAGTATTGTGCCTTCATACACGACAGGTCGGAGAGAACTTTGGTCAACTTTGACTATTTGTTTAGAGCCACCTACGATAATGGCCTGACATTTAGTTGGATTGACTTTTATTCCAAAGTCAGCAGACCAAGCACTGATACGTTGCAATTCATTATTCAACATGGAGATGGCCATATCAACATCCTCAGCTAAAGTCTGGGTATAGATTTGTAGGTCATCGGCGTAGAAATGGTAAGAGCAGCCAAGCGAGTAGGAAAGGAAATTAATGAAGGCAGAAAACAACAAAGGAGAGATAATACCACCCTGGGGTACACCGGCATTCAAAGTATTCCACTTTGAAAGGTTCAAACCCAATCAGTCAGTTCATACCCAACCATTTTTGTCTGTAATATTATCAGAGACTTTGTAATAAACTTTTATAGTACCTAAGTACTTTTTTATACTATCCTGAATTTATATATGGTTATCTCTTGGATATTGCTTGGGACTTTATTGTATAAGCAATCACAAATACCTATAAAAGAATTATTGATTTTGTGAAGCCTAGTAGTAGGTAAAATTAGTTGTGTGAACATCGCTGTTTTTAAGAAACAAATTATTGGAGTTTACTCCTTAAGAATCGATTTGCATATATAAGAGGCCCGGTATGAGAAAAATGTGAGGAGTAAAATCTATCGATGAATGACCTCGTTAAGTTTTTGGTGCGCATCCTATGTCGTGCAACTTTGACAAACAAAGATGACGGATTGACATTAATAATTTTTTTAAAATCTGAACTGAATTTAGATATTGTTTCTGATAGAGCAATGGGGACAACGAGGTATGGTAGTATGGTACAACCATTGATGCGGTATTTTCAAGATTCGTGAACCACGTAGGTATCCACGAACGTCCATGTGTCTTATTTTAGATACCATAAACCACTTGTTACTGTAATTAATAATGCAGACAATGTTGATTTAATTAACATTTAAAAAAATTATAATAGTCTGATAATAATAATTACATAATTTATCAACATTCCTAATGATATATTTATGCACATCTGTAATTGACTATTGTAAAAAGTTTAATGTAAAATATTTCGTCGATTAGTTATAATAAATGTATATGAAATGATATTGTATATTATTTTCATTAATTTGTTAATTTACCCTTTCATACAGTCGTGCGTCGGAGCTGACACACACATTTTTTTATTAGGTACGATAATGGTAGGTGGGTTTGAGCATTGAGTAGGTATATATTAAACGTAGGCATAGCGAGCGTTGGATTCGATGTAGTTTACTTGGTGATTTGACGAACAAAATTGACAATGTACAACGTATTGTGATTGTAATTTAGTGAAATAAATCAATGATTGAAACGAAATGCATTCGACTAATGTTGCAGTGGAGCGTTATTGAAAATGGACGGAAAAGGGGACGGAATATGTAAAAGGACATCGAAGGGACGCTTTGATGACAAAAGGGACGAAAATCGTCCCTTTTGGGACGTTCTGGCAACGCTGCCAGCAACAGTGCATACAGTGTTGCCAACTCGGATTTTGAAAAAGGCGTAGGCCCGATGACAGAATTACGTAGAATTAGTAAAATTTGCATATGAAAAGTTCGTAGATTTACGTATTTTTTTTTTCTGAGAGAAAAACGTTGAAACGAGTATTTTGTTATACAATTTGTTTTAATAAAGGAGATAGAACATAGAATTCTTGGAGAAGACGCTACATTGGCAGCATTTACCATGCTGTGGTAGACAATTACCATCAGACACAGACGCTGCTAGGTGTCAATTTTAGCATAATTCTCTTAACTAAGCACTAAATTTAACTCTCCTTTTCATTCTGTATAAAGAATGACAAGAATACACTGTTATCAAATAGGGTAGTTGACACTTTTTGAAAATATGTTTTAAATGGTTAATAATTGTTATATTAGACCGAAAAAAAAATGTATTGTAGTAATTATCATGATTGTATTATGCGAGAATGTAGAATCACAACGTTAAAGACTCCAGAAAAGTTGTGGTTTAAATTGCCCAGAGAAATAAACATATCTACACATGAACACACGTTTAAAACTTGCTAAATCCTGTAACTTTATCGACTGAAAGTCATTTCTTTTTGCAAAGATCACTTCGGTGTAAGTACTGATTCAATAATATTTTAAGTTTAAAAATATTTTTTTTAAGTTTATTAATGTACCTACTAAGTAAAAGAGCTTTGTCGTTTCTGCTTTTACAAATTCGGCGTTCAGCATTAATTTAGTCAACAAAACCAATAAACGGAAACTCTTCTACAAGATATAAGAGTCTTTAGATATATTTTAGTCCGACGAAAGACACCATAGTACCACAACAATGACGTTTAGTTGTTTACAAATTTTTTGACGTCACAATCATGGCGGACAGCGTTTTCAGTGTTTAAAAAGTATAGACTAAAAATATATTTTTTTTTCAAATTAGATTACTACAGCCATCTTCTGATTGTATGAAGTGAAATCGATGTATTTAAGTTCCTTGTACCAAAATCTATAAGAAAAAAATTGTGTGTGTCAGCTCCGACGCACGACCGGAGTTTACACTCTAAAAACGATTGTCTTTGAACAGACACAAAACAAAATCAATTCCGAAGAAGTCGGTTACAAGTAGAGATACCTCAGGAATCGTCCCATGGTTTCGACTATCATAGGTTCCATGTCACACATTTTATCATCTAACATCATCGATATTCATCATATATTTTATTATGTATTTCTGGAAACACACAATTTCAAAAATATCACACACTAGTCATCATTTTGTAAATATGTATTATAATTCCATCTGTACTAAAAATCATTATTCCAGAGTGCTGGACACTTACCGGCATTTCTCTATATTCTATTATTTATTTGTTTTCATTAATTTTGCTCCGATTTTATCTATTTTTAGTTTATTTATTTTATTGACCTTTGTGACAACTTAATGTTTTTTATCCGTTGCCATGGCTAAAAGTGAAAGGTGCGCAGATGAGGTTGCGCACAAAAACGTAACGAGGTCATTTGTTCAGTAGATTTTACTCCTCACATTTTTCTCATACCGGGCCCCTTATATATGCAAATCGATTCTTAAGGAGTAAACTCCAAGAACATTTCTCATTATGAAACATTGTGCTGAAAAGTCTTCCCTGTCGCCAGCCCTATACCACTACGCTGTAATGCATTCGGCACTCATTGCGCCTCTTCGCCGCTCGGGCTCGATCGGTACGCGCTCGTCTTTCCTCGGAAAGCTCTTTCAAATTCGGAACACAGTCATGATATATCTCTTTTGCATTAAAACACACTTTTCGACTGTATCCCCTTACCATAAAGTCAAATATCGAACGAAGAAACAAAAACCTAACGAGGTCATTTGTTCAGTAGATTTTACTCCTCACATTTTCTCATACCGGGACCCTTATATATGCAAATCGATTCTTAAGGAGTAAACTCCAATAAACATTTGTATAGTTTATAAGTAACGGAAAATAGCGCTTCCTTATTCTAGTGAGTTATGTTATTTTGCAAATTTGTACAAATTAAAAGAAAATACGTAGATTTTGGGATTGAAGTTAGTAGGTTTGCAGAAAAGGCCTGAAA